ATTCTGTGTGGTTGAGGAAGGTTAGGGTTAATGAAAAAGGCATACACTGTACAAGAGCACCAGCATCCTATTACAAGAAGTAACGCTTTGCTAGGACAGGAAGTGTACGGGTAGACAAACATATTGTTCAGGCACAGCTCAGAAACACACAAAAAAAGAGAGTAAACAAATATTTCCACCCAAGGACCTCTTCTCCTTGTAGATAATGTACGTACTCTTAGTACAAGGCACTGATAATGTCTGAAAATGCTTAGCAATGTCGTACCGGTACAGTGCCATGGCTGAATAAATCCTTGTCGTCTGATTGGTGGGTAGTTGATTGCTTGTCACTGAATTCCTCTTTGTACATGTTGGAGCTACTTACAGGTAGTGATGGCATACATGTCGCTAGGATTTTACTGGTGGGAGGCGCCAGCATCTTATGGGAGGCACCAGCTTTCAGTGGTGTGGGTTTTGGGGGCATGTTTTTGTTAGACTTATTCAATATCTATTTATCAGTGTTTTAGTGGGGGGGCACTGGGAAAGGGGACACATGCCACCCCCCCCGCTCCTGTGTGGTTTCGCCACTGGTAATTAGACAAGCATAAGAGGATGCATGCCCAGTGATGTACTGCATACTTTACACAGGGTGGATACTGTTCAGTATGTGAATCTATTATGCGAATGACCTTGCACAAAAACAATGGTGGCCCACTGGAAAACTTGAAGGTCTGACAACGTAACACCCGCTCTTGTTCTGACAGTCTTCCAGTCTGTGATGTCACATGGTATCTTCCAAGACTGCGGATTGGCCAGAATGCACTGTCTCAGCGTGGTTTCTTTGCAAAGTCGCCTGGGTTTCTAAATGCAGCAGTTATCGCTCATCCCAGCAATTTGTCTATTTTCAGTGAAAGCGGTCTCCTGGTAAATCCTGGTATTCTACATTTTGTATCCTGTGAAATTTCTTCACCGCCAATGTGTAATGGGCCCTTCTGCATGGCAAGCCTGCATTGACTTATTCAAAGTTCCAATCAACTTTAAAAGGAAGTTCCTACATTTATTTTATTACTTATTTCTGTTCATCGAGCAGTGCATTTTGCACCAATTACAGGACGAAGTGATAATTAAAAAGACAGTGAAGAAATGTTCAGTTTTAGAGGTCGGAGGAAAACCCTGAATGAGTATTTCTGGGAAAAGCTACAGAGTCAGACAGAGACTGAAAACTCAACCCACATGCTGACCTACATGTAGGTGGGATTCGAACCCGGGTCGCAAAGGTGTAAGGCAAGGAATGAGCCACTACACCAACGTTACTACCCATGTATTCCACGGTTCCACAGTCAAGAGAAATTTCTCAAGTAGGATCCAAGGCATTTTTAGGCAGTCATTTATTCAGGCACTCCATAACACAAGTGTTTCACATTTGTGCAGTGGAATATTCCACATACATGTCCCCTTGTGAAATTATTTCTACCAATTCATCAACAATCATTCCTTGTTTGTATTATCTATAACAGGCTTCCACACTAGTGGCGCTGCACTAAGCAATGTCCAAAGAGCTGGAAAAAACAACTGCGGCTACAGCTACTCCCTGTAGGCATAGCTGTTACTGACAGCCATAGCCAGTTGGGTGGCACACAATCCAAGGCTCATGGCTTATCACTACTGGAATTTCTGCTTTCAGCAACCAATGCCATGTTGGAAGAAAGACAGAATCATTACAGTCACGTTAGAGTGTACATCACACCAAACAGGTTTTTTCCCCAAGCTACTGGTACATTTGTGTGTGTAAATGTCTACTGCTGAAGTTATTACAGACATAAATATGTACACTTACCTCACATGTTCACAGCAGTCATGGCAACAGCTTTGGTAAGTACGGGAACTAGACTGACACTGCAGAACACTATTCTTGGCATCAAACCTAAAGAGACCTGCCAAAACCAAAAATTTCAATGCAAAAGTAACAAATTAGAGAATTGAAAATAAAAGAAAACCACGAAAATAATTATGAACCATGGCTAAACTAGCATTCCGTTATTTCTTATGGATGGCAGAGGGGTGGATCATTCATTGTAAAATGACATCATCAGGTGACGCATATTTGAAAACAAAAAACAATTCAAAATCAACAAACAAATCTGAAAACTGATTGAACCCCACAAAATAAGGAACCCTAAATTACACAATAGGAATTTTTTCTCATTCCTAATACATCAGTGAGGCCTTGAGCATGCCCTCCAACACTGAAAAATCAGAAATTCGTACCACCATCGCAGGAGCCCATAACGAAATAAGCAGCTGTGCGACAGAAGCTACCTGTGACCAATTTCCCCTGTATCGCATCTGGCAGGCCACAGATGCAACTTGGAAAGTTCTCGCTGTGGAGAAATCACGCGCAGCATGCACGAGATTGGTTCCTTTGCATATGTGCCAGCGTTGTATTCGAGTCCATCACAAGTCCCTGCAAGTCCTTGTAAAACCATCACAAGTGCATCAAAAGTCATTCATGTCTTAACCACTTGCTGCCAGGGAACCCCGTTTCGAGCACCATGGGTTTATACGCAGAGCCTGGGTGTCCAAAATTGGACAAAAGAGCTGGTCAATGTAACAAAAGACCGTACTCAGAACATAACACCTGCTGATGGAAATTGCCATCATTTTTCGGCTGGCATTTTTCGAAGGTAATCTGTCACTGTTTTTAAACAGTATACCACTGTTTAGGGCATAGTACGCCTGCGGATGAGACCACGGACAAAAGTGTTCCAGGGCCCCATTGATGAGCGACACAGCACCACTGCATGCTAATCCAGCCGCGTTTGAAAAGACGCCACTTGCACTCACTCGGGGACAATGGAAATTATGCAACAGCTCACAATTCTGGGCTCTCTTTACAGGGCGGCAACCCTGGCTGAAATACTGAGTCAATGAAGGTTGCCTGTCAGCTTAGAGTAGCCATCAAACAGTCATTCGTGTGGGTGTAAACATCCATTAAATGAAATGATGAATTTTTGGAGAATTTTTAAAACTGAAAATCTGGAAAATCTCCCTTATGTGTGCACTGCATTTTAACCACTTGCCACTGGGGACTTCGGTTTCGGGGACTCCCATTTCGAGCACCATGTGTTTAAACACGTGGGCGGGGTCTCCAAAATTGGACAAAGGGAACTGGGCCTTGTAACAAAAGACCAGGCTGCTGGGCATTACCGACATTTTTCACTCTCAATCGTAGAGATAATCCAGCCTTGTTTTGAAACAGTATACATACCACGGTTTGGGGCATTTAGAGCGAGCGGATTACCACTGGGGACAAAAGCGCTCCACCACTGCAACGATGAGTCACACAGCACTGCTGCACGCTAATCTGTCCCCTATTGAAAAGAGGTCAGCAGCGCACTGTGCCAGGTTCGTGAACAAAAGAAAGTTACATAACACCGCACAATCTGGGCTCTTTTTACAAGGATGCAAGCCTGGCTGAGATACTCGGGCGTCAATAGATTTTGTCTTTCAGACTGGAGTGGTCATCAGACAGTAATTTGTGTGGGTGTAAACGTCCATTTATTGAACTGATGATTTTTTGAAGAATTTTGAAAACTGAAAATCCTGAGAAAGTCACCCAGCAGTAAGTGGTTAAAAGCACCCGGCAGCAAGTGGTTAAGCCAATTCACAAGCTATTCAAATGAGCTGTGACAAAAGCATTCCTTTGTCATTGTTCACCGTGTTACTTATGACTGGTCTCACGAAGGGACTTGTGACTGGCCTTGCTAGGGGATTTGTGACTGACCTTGTGAAGGGACTTTTGATGGACTCAAAAACAACACTGATGTGTACTTCAAAATTCCATCAATTTTACCTCCCCCTCAAAAAACAAGATGTATGAAATCCACAAGCTACCTGGAAAAAATGAACGTTAACTTGTTGAACAACAGAATGATGGTGCGAATGTAGGTTCCTCCAGCTCAACACGGATAGATCTGCCAAAAATGAAAACACACAAAAAAGCCTGAAAATTTGTATTCTTTACAATGTTTACAAAAGTTTCACACGTCTCCGGATCTCGATCAGTGACTCCCAAAGCCGGTTCTGGCTGTCCATTAGACAGGTTCCGGTGTTAGTGAATCAAATCGGATTGCTGATCACGAACCAGATCCGTGTCAAACACTTATCTCACAGTCAGTCACAGAGCAGAGTGCTTAGAGTGTAAAATTCCCAAAGTAAAACCAAAAACCAAGAGTTTCAGTAGCTTTCAATGGGTCGCATAGGCTCAAAAGGTTTGATATAAAATTTTCAAATGATGACGAAATAAGTTTAAGAAACAATACAGTGAATCAACCATAGCACTATTTCCAAATGTGAAAGGTTCGGCATTATAAATGCATTTGCCTACACATGTACTGTGAATACGGCATTTTGGACTGGCTACTGTTGTCTTCTATTACACCAATCTATACCACTGGAAACAGGAACAAGACCAGTCTGTAAAGGCCAACAGATGGATATTGGACTTTATTTCCTTTTAAAAATCCTCTAGAGATATGAATCTACAAAATATGAAGAGAAACATGTCTATGGAAAGTAAATCTTATGGTGTCAGAAAATATAAAGAAGAGATTGAACAGGGAAAAAAAGGGGGAAAAAAATTGTTCATTGTCATGCAGATCAAAACCAGTGTTCACATGCTTGCTGAACAATGTGCATCTAGAATGAGCTATAGGAGCTGGCATCTGGCATCTGGCATCAGACATAAAAAGTCCAAGACCTTATACAGGGTGGCCTAAAAAAAGGGACACCGAGATTGATTAATCTGTTTCTCGAATGTGACTAATTATTTTTGAAACTGGTCAATATAATCTGTTAGAGTACGTTGTCTTCTTCATGTGACACCGAGAAATCCACATTTCTATCACACATGAGTGAGCGCAAAGTGGTTTAATGGACCGTGTCAGAAATGTCTTTGCACCAGTTGCATCACAGGTTTGCACAGCGTGAAGCATTAAGTACACTGCCAAAATTATTAATTCACAGACAACCACAGCTGGGGCTTCTGCTTGCCACAATCTAATCCCAGTGCCCTTCAACATTTCCCCCAATTTCTTTCAATGCAGAGTTCTGCCTCTTGTTCTTATTGCTTTATATGGTTTATATGCATTTTGGAGATTCCAGCAAACATTTCGTGATTCTCACAAAAAAGCTATCTCTGAACAGTATGCATTCAACACCAGAACAGCTACTGTATTTGGTGCAGAGCCAAATTTCTGACTTGGTCCATTAAACCACGTCATGCTCAGTCATCTGTGACAGAAATGTGGATTTTTGGTGTCATATGAAAGAGGGCATCATAATGAAACAGATGCTGGTTACCATTTACCAAATAATTAGTCACATTCAAGAAACGAACAAATTAACCTCACATTCTCTTTTTTTAAAAGACACCCTGTATAGATTGGCATGGCTTACTGTACAAAAACTAAACTACCATATATGCACATGTACACGGTATAAAATCTTCATGCTGTGTTAGGGTTTCTTTAGCTACACAGCCACCGTACAGCCACTGCATTACCTGTGGCTTGCCTAGCTCGAGAAACTCCCATCACAATGCTCAAACGACATTCCGGAAATTTACCACTTTCCACAGATCACGAGCATTAGGGCTGGCATTACCGATGGTACAGCTTGCCTTAATCTAGTGCACCTGCATAACAGATTGGTCTGGTTTCTGTTTCCAAGACAACTTCCCTGATATCTTGTCACTAATGAATACTAGCCACTACATCATGCATGCAACTTTGCAAGTTTCTGTCCACAGATATTTGACTGGTTCACACATACTTTCCCTGCTATGCCAGCGCGGCAAGTGAACATGCTCAATGTGTGTCCTTGGTGACTTTGAAATGTTACCACAAAAAAATCTTCATCTGGTACCAGCACAGCAGCTGAACATCATGTACTCTACATGTCTGGGAGGTTTAATCATTTTACCATGGCAACTCTTCATCAGGATCCATGCTTACATTGTCTTTGCAAATTCATACATGTATATATAAGATGGAATTCAGACCTACATGTAAATGTATGTATGTACTGCAATTCCAGAAATTATTTCCCTTGAAAATAAAATCCTACAACCACCATAACATGCAGGTACATGTTAGTTAATGTAAAGCTTGAAAGGATTTATAACCTATCAACTTTCTGGGGTTGGAAAAAACTTAAACAGAAATTAAAGAATGTCCACAATGGGTTTACCCTCAGAACTGTGGGGTTTGTCCGCCACTTCAGGCATGGTGGACGATGAACCCCACAGTTCTGGGGTAACAATGGGTCTAGAACCCAGACCCTACTGTCTTCAAAAGTGTCATGTCCATGGTTAAACCACATGCTTCAACCACTCAACCGTACATTGTCGCTAAGTCATGACAGGTGAATTAAGCTATTCTCTCAGTTCAATACCAACATACATCCAATTTAAAGAAGTGAAACCAATGACAACAAAATATGCTTCGTTACAAAAAAATGAAAAATGCAAGCAGTTTCTTGTAGGCCTACTTTTGTAGATGTGCCTTATGCTGGATTTTCATCTACACAATATCTAACCCATACTAAGTAATAGGCCTACTGAATGTACAATGAATTAAAAAGACTGTTGTAATACATTTCTCCCAAACATGCCAAAAAATCACAAAATCCAATACACAATAACCTTTGCTGAGCTGTGGCAGCCATTTTCTAAGCAAAAGGCAAAGTGGAATATTCCACTTTGCAAAATAGGTATGGCCATCATCAGGTGCAAAATTTAACTAAGCATGCCTACTGCATTGGCTAAGGTGTAAAAAAAAGTGAAATACTGCTTAAAAGGATCCCTGCATTTATTCTTTTAATAATATACTTTTCAAATGAATATTTAGTCAAAATAAAGCAGAATAGAGGTCTAAGGCTTTAACTTAATTACCACAATAGAGTTTTTCCAGCGAACAATACAAAAACTGGTACAACCATAGCAGGGCGAAAAACGAAGACCGACGAACGGTCTTGCAATAGGTGACACCCCTATCTTCCGCCAAATGGAATGATCCATGAAAACTGCTTCGTGTGTAGTGTAATGGCAAGCCTGGGGATTTATTGTAATATTTGCACATGGCCGAAAAAAAAGCTCGCAGAACAGCAATTTACCTGCAAAGACACACCTTATACCTTCACAAATCAATAAACTTCCTGGTCAGGAAGGAAAAACAACGCAGAAAAGAAAAGAAAGTAGGGGCTTTACAGCTCGATCTTTGCAGAGGCAGGTCTGTATCCACTATCAGTATCACGTACGTTGCCTTGGCCTACATAATGGATAAATGTTCGTCGATGCAATAAACATGATACACTTAACGGGTTAAGGCCTCACCGTGGTCAAGACCACAGAGACTATCCATTAGAATCTGTCTAAAACGTGAAAAAATGCCTGCTAGGCCTTCTCCTTCTTCTCAGTAGTTACGGAGTAGTGTCTGCGTGCAGACTGAAGTGGATGATAGCACGGGATTATTTGCCGATGCCGCGGACTGGCCAGGCAGCATTGTCCGCATGTACAGTACATTGCCAGCTCACGCCATATGCAGAGAGTTGAATATGGTCACGCACGCATCCACGTACGGCCGGCCGCAGACTGTGTTCTAGCTTTTCGCGGGACCACTGCGACGTGCACGTACGTGCGCACGATAAACGTGCCAATACTGTGGTGGCCCAGAAAAGACAAACATTGACCTGATTTATTTTTGTTTTCATAAAAATGGCGAGGCAGTTTCGTCAGCAAACCACATTTTCTGGCAGCTTAACAGTTTGTGGTCGTGGTCGATGTTCTAAGTGCAATATCGTGGAGGTTGCTGCGTGCAGGCCTCAGTCATTCGTGCAATGCAGCAGTCATAATTTTCAGGCATGAGGCGATAGACGAAATGTTCCACTTCGCCCTGCGGCAGAAAAACATTCCTGCTTTTACCTCAGGAAATCATTCTTTCCACTTCATGCAAAGGTGGATCCAGGATCTTTTTTTTGGGGGGGGGCAAATATATTGGAATTTCTTTTACGGCCTGTTGAGTTGTAAGACTTAATTTGGGGGACTTTTGTACGCTTTAGAAATGAATGCCTTTCAAATTATTTCAAAATCCCACATTCAAAAGGCAGGCACGACCCGACTGGCTTCCCTTGGATCCACAATTGAATTCAAGAATGGGAAACATTTTTAAAAGCCTGTTTCATGCAACCATGCCTGAATGAATCCTTTTCATTTATTTATAATTATTTGTAACTTACACTAAGTTGCCCATGGTAAAACTTCAGCATACTATCCATGGCAGTTTACCCACAATTCCGCATCAGTTATATTACTTTATCAGACGTTCCCAAAATTCCTCTGAACGGTGGAAATATACATTGATTTGTGTTTCTTTAGCAAAGCATACGAGTTCAGAAATTTCTTCATTAGTCGGTGAAAAAAGGCATAAATTATTACAATCAGTGTGTGAAAATTGTTATTCGTTACAGCCTTCAACAGACCGATTGTGTGCACCGTACTGTTTGATCAAATTTTAATGCACTTGTTGCTATCTTTTTTTCTTCTTCTTTTTTTAACCCAAGAAACACTCATGTCAGAATTTTACCTTTGTGTTCCTCAAGCACTGTTTTGGAAAGGACACCTGGAGGTGGGTAAAGGGTGAATTTCATTATCGACCTTTCACTTCCGGCACCATCGTTCGATCCTAGGTTTCCTTGTTCATGCACGTTTGTTTTCACTTCATGAGCTTGCTTGAAAACGAGATACAGTATAATAAAAGTCAGCGCAGTCTGCAGTCAATGGTTCCTAGATTCAGTCGAGTTGACCGGACGCATGTAGTTCTTCAGCGGCCACTCAAGGTTAGCTTAAACATTATAATCTTTCATAAATGGTGAGATAATTCCTCTAAGGGTGCATTCCACCAAGTCGTATTTCTGCGCACGAGCTCATTAATATTTTGTGATTCCAGGGGTTTTTACAATAATGTAGGGGTCCGGGGATTCCCCAGTGAGATATGTAATTTCTTTTGATGTGAATATGAAATCCGACCTACATACCGGTCCGTGGCACGAGATCAATGCACCGGTAGGTATGAGCGTACAGACTTCAAAGCCACGCCCTTTTGACCGGAAGTCCTTTACATTGTATTACATTTTGATGGGACCTGAGAAGTTCTTGGGCTTTTCTCAGTGGCCAGTAAAAAAAACGTAGGCCAACCTCTTCACGACAGCCAACAGGCGGCGCTATATTTCGGTCCGATTTTGCACTGTTTTCTATGGGCGCGTATTTGGTGTAGCGCAACCCTAAAGGCGCCTTTCCATAATAATTGTGCGTCAATACTGGTGTCTACTGTTGTTGCGTAGGGCCTAGCCGTAATAATCACTTCCAGGCGATTTGGACAGCCGAACGCGCACAACTTAACTAGTTTGATGTTAATGGAGTCTACTCTTGTAAAACGCATCCCCCCCCCAAAAAAAATGAAATAAAATTAAGGAAAGGTGCCTTAAGTTTATTTCCCTTATAAATCGTAAAATGATTAAATTATGTTACCTGCTCTTAAACAAAAGACCATAAAATGTTATTCCGTAACAGTTCATCTGCGTGCGAGAAAACCGAATTGCGCTGGTCTTTACGTCAGTTTTTGCTAGGATGTTTTCTTTCAGGTCAGGTGATTTATCCGTTTCTACAAATTAGTCTTGTCTGGTCCTGAGGTGATTGTGTACAGAAGCAAACGAACGAAAAATCGCAAATTCTAATATTTTGCACATCATTTTTCTTACCCAAGGACCCCCGGAAGCACGCCGTCAGGGGTCAACTTTCATGCTCTCTCGTTCAACGGGACCAGTGCTCAACAAAATACGCCATGCCCTTCCCAGTTCGCCAGAGTGTAGGCTCTAGATAAGGAGCATATTGTTATTAGGCCTATGTCACTCACAAACATGAATCATTATACAAAATATTACCCAATTTTTCTACAACTTTATACTCTTCAAAGAATAAAAATTACCTGACACCCTTGCGTTAATGCGTTAAAAAGCGCCATGTTCAAAACATTAAAAATTACTATTACTTTCCCGGACAACTGACTGCGCTATTGCTCTGCTACGCCATCCAGGGAAGACAAGTTCAGTGCATGGGTTTTTCTGTTCACATTTTTAACCCCAAATCAACTCAATAAAAACATTTTTAAGAAAGAGTTCCATATATGCTTATTGCTATGTACTTAAACAACAATGAATCACCCAAGAAAAAAATGAGGCCAGTAGAATTCAGCAGTTATTGTGCACAAACCGATGCAACATTGAGATTCCTTTCCTGCAGGATGACATCACAGTTTTGCCTATGAATATGGAAATATCATTAGCATAAAAACCATAAAGGCAGCAAAAAATCCTTTGGAATAGTGAGACAAAAATTGAAGGGTGTAAAGGTACATTTTGAAGGTTTGTATTTGTTTTATACAACTGGCATACTCCGCTGCATCTACACTCCCTGCGTTTGCGCATCCGTCGGGGTCGCCGCCATGATTATAATGTGCTTTCCAAGCAAAACGAATCAGGACAAAACTTTCTCTGTAGATTTTGGTCAGCGGCTCAACATTGTTGAGGGTCAGCTATTCAACCATGGGAACATTGGCGTAAATCCCACGGGATGGGATATATAGCCCCCCCCTTCCTAACTTTTTGACACGGGGGGGGGGCTATCGAATCACCCACCCCTTTTTCCAGGGTGAGATAAAAAAATCATCAGGTAGATTGTAAAGAATTTTTCGAACTTCACAACGACGAAAATGTATTCATTAGCACGGAAGCGTATAAGGGCTAGATGCCCCCAATTTGTTTCAATGTACCAACTTGCCGTAGCGACAAGGAGCTTAAAACTCGCCGCGGCGAGACAGTAACTTGAAAACGATTGCAAGTGGCCCTTACACGCTTCCGCACAATAGTACTAAAAAGGGAGATCAAACATAAAGTCCTGATATGAAATCGTGATACAGATGTACATCTGCATTCCCTAAAGGCAAAAGGATGAAAAACTCACTCTCTAAAAGAGTGAGTCCGTCATAAATCCACTCCAAAAAAGGGGGGAACCACTCCACAGGAATAAAAAATAATTAAGGAATCCAAAAGAGTGAAAACCATTCTAAAAGAGGAACCATTTAAAAGACGGGGGTCTTGGTGTCAGTTATTTTAATATCTGACCTGTCGTAGTGGAATGCACCTTGATATAATTATAACTCATCGTACAAATTTCGTATGGGCTCAGAGGGGCGTAGCTAGCTCATTCTCTGCGATCGTATAGCGATGGGTCGAAAATATTGCGTGGTTCGATTAGCTTTAAAAAGTTGTCTCGTGTTTAACATCGCCCCCCACCGTCTCGCTTGTTTGGCACAGGACACCGGCCATCCCCAGGTGATGGTTGCCCCCGTGTGAGCTAATCAAACGCACCCAAATACAACAGTCAAAGACTACTGGCGCGAAGAGTGACGCGTCTGCGCCACATCCGGGGCGAATAATTCAGGCCACATGATCGACAGTACTGTCGATAAACAGTCGATTCACAACAGTGCGCCTCCAAAAGTTTGCAAGGCGTTGACCAATCACAGTGCTCAAAATCTGTCGACCCGCTTCCAAACGCGCATTAAGTCGACCGATTTCGCTCGCGGTGATTGGTCAACGCGTTGCAAACTCTTGGATTGGACGCATCGCCCCTATTCACCTGCAGCAGATTTCACGAAACTTTACGCGAAGGCGTAACTCCACTTACGCCACACTTTATTGCGTAAGTTGCGCACTTAACATCTATTACTGTGCTGTATCAAATTACATCTGAATTGTAAACGCGCATCCTCTGATTGTTCGATTGCTTGTGGGTGGTGTCATGGAGGTTCGTCGAAACACACAGCACAACACTTCACTACAGGATAATCTGTAATCTGAGTCCGCTTAAAATAACTTTTGGTTGTGCAGGTAGCACCGTCAAGGAATGAAATCATCCTTATCCTTGCACTCGGAAAATAAATCTGACATTCGGGGGGGGGGGCAAAGGGAAACCGAGTGGAACGGAACATTCTATGTCTCTGCATTTTATTCTTACCACTGCATAAAAGTTAACGTGACATGCTCAGTTTCCATAACAACCTGCGGTCGTGAAAACAGTCAATTCCACACACATTAAAAAACTGTACGACGAAATTACTTCATTGGTCAAATTTATCTGTGTAGATCGTTTTATTATTATCCAACACACATTTTTTGAGGAAAAATGAGCTTAAATATGCTACGGTATCGAGTCCAGAAAAAAAGGCGTCAACATTGCAATCCATGTTCTAAATTTAGAAATGGGAAAATAAAGCACACACGCGCTAGGGCCTACTAGTAAACCTGACCTAAATGTTATTTTCAACAGGCATGCAGCATCATACTAGCACATACATGTAATAGACTCGAAATACTCGGGCAATATTCTTCACTCTGGGTAAATCTTAAAGGAATGCTTTAGATAGGTACATGTTCACAAACATACGCCAGCAGCTGCATTGGTAATATGACCACACTGCATTTTATCATATTCGCTAGAAATTTCAAACAAGGAATATCTGTGTAATTTCCAATTAGTATACATGCAAGTGTTCAGCTGTACGGCTTAGGAATATATCTTGTATATATCTTGTTTAAGAGTAGGACTGCACTAAAAGGTGACGAAAACTTACACACGGATATAAACTGCATTGCAGTTAGAAGTTTGTAACCAGATTATAGGAGAATACACAGGACTATAGATTTACTTTAAATCCACAGTCCATAATATAAATACAAAGAAACAGATAGCCAGTTAATGGTGCCACTTAGTGTTAAATTTCTTCTTGGTCTGTGCGCACGTCAGAAAAAATTTCAAGGAAAATTTTACACAAGTTCCACAGGGAATGTTCCTTATTACATTTCATATACGTTAAGACCAGTTTGTACTTCAGAAAACGTTGAAAAGTGTGAACATTTTGCGAACTAACACCATGAATATTTAATCTGACGTCAGAATTTCGCGGTGCGTGGTTCGCTTTCGCGCCAGGTATGAACAAAGCATAAGCTGGGAACTTACACTGTAGCAAACAGCACGGCATGGCATTTTGTCACGTATCATGCAATTTGATTCAGCTCAGCTCACTGTTTCTGTGCTTAAAAATATCCAGGTGCTTAGTATCTTCAGAAAATTATACCCTGCTGTACGAAAAAACATTGCTCTGTCTTGAAAGTGACAAGAGAGGGCAGCTCAAAAGTCAACTTTAACCAGGACCTAATTTTATAGACCTGCTAAGGCTGGCTGCGTCCGAAGTACTTGGCCATGGCTTGAAATAACACACACCTCAGGGGAAATGGCTGCAGCCACAACCGAAGACTCAGGCGTACTTTAGCCACAGTCAAGTGTTTCGGATACGGCCTATATAGGAAATTTAGCTCTAAAAGTTATTATCACAGAGGCTGCACAGTGAACACTAATCTATACTGATAAATAACGAGCCTCTTTTATGGTATAAACCCACCGTCAGACAAACGCGGTTAAAAGAAATCACTCACGCATGACCATCACAATAGTATCAACAAATTTCACTATGGACACCACCTCTTGTCAATGTACGAGTCACGGGGCAGGGAATAACCATTTATGGTAACCTAAGAACAGATACATGTACCTGAACGCTATAGTGTTGCAAACAAGAACAGGTAGATGTAGATGTATTCTGATATTCATGTATCACTGAATACTATAGTGTGGTATGTGCAGTATACAAAATAGTATTCTCAGTGGCAAGTATTTGGGAAATATTGACGTGAAACGGTCAGTTGAAAAATAAATTATACCCTGATCCAGAAGTGCTCAACCCTCTCGAAGAATTCATGTATACTTTTGATATACCATTCAATAGAAGTTACAGATAGTCATGAATAAATAAACCAGAAGACCTACAACCTACATCCTTGGAAAAAGGATGGAAAGCGCCACCTGTGGCAGTTCAAATATTTCAATACTACTACCACTATACCATACCACAATAAAATAAGAGAGTATGTCACGGTTGTCACCCATTACAAATTTTAAAGGTTTTAAATATACATCACAGTGTCAAATTAAGATTTAAAACAGTCCATTCTGTTTACATTTTAGAACACACTTGTAGCATTTATATTAATAAAATGGCGAAAATATAAACACATACAGTCAAGGCACAGCTTCGTTAACGCACAGCAAAACCGAACAGGTAGGTTTTTTCTAAAGTTGAATAAAACTGTTACTCAAAATACTTTGGAAGGATCTCCTGAACAACTCCAAAGCACAACCTCTTTCAAGATCAGTTCAATGACTGAACTTCCAACAATGAAGGCACTAGAATAAAACGGTACTCCAAACGCTTGAGGGTTTCCTCCGAAAACTCCTTTTTGACATAAAAAGGTCAACGACTGCCTTGCCACTTGGAACAATAAAGGCACCAGCCACTTTGTACATGTACATTGCAATGGTACACTCTTTACACAAGAGCTGCTCAGAGGAACTCATTGTACTCGTAAGATAATGGCCAGGCACTGCCAGATACAACAAATTTTAAAAAGCACTTTTAAGTACATGTACTTGTACATGAAAAACAGCCTCAAAAATGTTTAGTTGTAGCTTATCTGTACATTCTGAATTTCACAAGTCAATATTCCTTGTGTTTACAACAACCTTTGACATGAAGGTTACTCCCACAACATCTCTGGGAGCCATTTCAATACATGTACCTTCTTACCCACGTACATGTAATTTACAAAAGCTTTAAAACAAAGACATTGATAGCGATTTGTACGTAATCTAGAAATACAAACTCCTCAGTACATTTCTTACTTTAAGTGCTGATTTCTAGTTTAAGTGTCATTTTAAAAGCTTGAATCTGTGTTCTCCCTGTTTCACACATGACTTAGAGGAATGTTCAAGTAAAATGAAAACTACATGTATGCAAGAATGTAAAAGTAAGTATATATTTGAATAAGAAACTTCATTCTTGAAACTTAAAAGTTTTTTGGTAAAAACAAATTTGACAGATTACCAATTCATTCACACACAAAATATGCCATCAGGACAGAAGTAGAAATTCGATGTTTTATTTAAAAAAAAAAAATAATAATATTAAAATTGAGTTTGGTAGACATATGCTAATTTCATTTTTGCTTGTGCTGTGCTTTGCATGGTTATATATTTTTTTGAATGCTTTTTGAAAATGTAATGATTTTGTATAATGCTGCGAAACCCTTGGACGAATCCTTGTATTCAAAATGAGAACAGGATAAGAAAATTATGCATGTATTTATTTTGAAACAGAGTGAAGGATCAACTGGCAAAATTTCTAAGTCTGAGAGTGTTCTTGTTCCCCCTAACCAACGAATCTGTACTGGGAAGTTGTCTTCTGGATTGCCCAGAATGAAACTTCCTCAGTCCTGCAGCATCCCTACAGTCTCCTGTTCAAGGCTTTAGATGACATCAGAATACAGAGTGCCAAACCCCTGTGAACTAAGGAATAGGCACCCAAGTCACTGGAGTTTCCAACTTTCACATGCATTTATTTACCAAAATCTGGTATCCAGAACAGCCAACAGGATGTCCTAACCATGCTAAAGTTCACGGTAAAACCTTCCTCCTGATGGGTTTTTGATGGACTGAAGGGGTAGCTGAGCTAGGCTAACAGACTTGGAGTTCCAGCCTCCAGTTTCCACTCGTGCCAAATCATGAATGTTTACAAACTTGTAAACTCCTTTTATCACTGACTGCATAAAAATGTGACTGGCTGCAATTGAGTGCATTTCACCAAAACTTTGGCTACTGGTACTGTATAAAACTTGCCAGCTGGAACTTAACACTGAAAATTTGATATGTATTTTCAAGAGTTAGACCTGTGACAATGAATGCATTTGATACTAAATGTCAAACACAAAGAAAAATGCATTGAGGGGTTTCACAAGCTTAGAAGCATGCCCTCCTATAATCGGCTCACTCCAATAAATCTGCAAGCTTGGGTTGGTGCGCCTTGACTGCCAGCTTGAACTGCCTGTACGCTGCTGGTCCGCGCTCCGGGATCATGTTGACCAGCACTCTGGCCTTGTCCTCCTTGGTCATTCCCGCTCGGACTTGATTGCAATCTTCCTTGCTGAGGGTGCCGCCTTTCTCCAAGATGGCCAGGATGTCGTCAGTTTTCAGGTTCAGGATGAGCGAGTCTCGTCGCCTGAAGGCAATCTTCTTGGGGTGCTGGCTGCTGTCCTCCTCTGGGACGGCGCACTCTGTGTCCAGTTTCGCTACCAGGTGTGGGTAGCACTCCTTCAGTGCGTAGCGGAAGTGCTGGTAGGCCAGCGGGCCCCGGGTCACCAGGATGTCCAGTAAGGCCTTGGCTCGATCCTTCTTGATCCGGCAGGCTGAGATCTTGTCACACTCGAAAGTGGAGAGGACTGTCCCGTTCAAGTAGAGCAGGACATCCTCCGTGTTCAGCTCTGCAGCAATAGCATCGTAGTGATAACACAGCTTCTCCCTACTACGTGCATCCATTCCGACTAAACTACTGTTATTTGTTGACTACACGTATCTTGGTGTAACAAAAAGAAAAAATAATCAGTGGTTTGTACTCAACTGAATCACAACTTACACTGCAAGAAATACATATATGCTGAGACAGATTGGGCCAAGTAAAAAAAAATACATGTTTAGCATCCGGGTTTTGAAAAATAGGGAGGAGGCGGGGCATTTGATTTTGTTCTTCCCTTTCAAGATAGCCACCACTTCCATGAGTGTACAATTTGTGGCTACAGCCATTTGCGGGCATTAAAAGACACGTTTGATCTGGAGATCCCATGGTCCCCAACAGATTCCCACATTAGTTTAAAAGTTATAGCTCGCAAGTATTTCATTTTCAAATCGATCAGTTGACATTTTTGCTGTTTTTCACCAACTTCTCCAAAAAGAAAAAAACATGAATAGTTGAGGTGCCCTCCAAAGGGCGGGGATGCAAAACATTTTTTTTATAAACTGCGCCTTACAATTATCCGGTATGATGGAAGTCCCTCCCATATGATGATTCTTATCAAAGCCACATATACATGTACTCTCGAAAGAGATATTGTACATGGTCTTACAGTAAACCCATGACCTTTGCTTCTGTGGTTTATATTGAACAGTTTGGATCAAGCTTTCAAGTTGAAATGTTGTGAATTTGATTTGTTGCAATATTCTTTCTCCGTTGTAAGCTTTTGGCAAATTCATTCGGGCCACGATCTGGCTCATTCAAACATTTGCATTACCAGTCACTACCAGTTTAATTACTTAAAGAGACGATATCTCATGGGGGCATGCAACTCCCCCCCCCTTTACAGCCACGCCGCTGAATATCCCTTCTTTAAAGACTTTCAGTGTGAATACTGTGAATGAAAAAGTAAAATGTGAAATGAAGTCCTTTTCAGATGATGGAGATTTACGCAAGTGTTTACATAACACTTGAAATGAACTCTTTTTCCAAGACACACATAAACATTACGTTGATCACCCTGTTCAGACATGTCAGATGTTTGTTATATGTTAACGCTGACATGATGGCCATGGAGCACCTATATGTAGGCCTATGCCTTGGAAAATTAAACCGAAATCCAAAATGCTAGATAGGCCTAGTCCTCAAATAAGTAGGATCAAACTTACTTACATCAAATGTACATGTACCCCACTTGACACTGACAAACTTGACTGGTTCAGCGCCGATCCCTCACGTTAGTCTTTCGAATCAACCTCCTAACCACAACTCGCACAAGCATTAATCAAAAGGGAATTCACCTTTTCCGCATCCGGTGCGTCATCATTTTGACTGAATAACTGCGTTGCTAAATACATTACCAACACTTTCAATTGTAGTCTGTTACATTCCAGCACACGTGTGAACATTATACTTGTGAGGATGAGACAGGAACAAGACTGCGGTTTTGCTTCGTAAAATATTCGACCGCGTAGTTAGTACTCTGTCTCCGTAGTTCGTGTAACTTTGGATTTTGAGGAGGACATTAATTAAGGCCGGGGACAGATCCAGGGCGCAAGCTCCTTTTTCTTCCACCAAAAAAATAAAGTAGAAAAACAAAAAAGAAGAAAAAGAGGGAAGGAGCTAGAAGAAAAAAAGAGGTGTCATCATATTCACTGCCTGAAATTGCACAGCAGATCGCCCAGAACTTCCAAAAATCAGCGGCCCCAGACCCCTAGCCGTAAGCTTGGCTTCGGAGCTATACGCGCTCGCGGGCGTTTTAATATTGCTACTTTCGTTTTCCCCCTTTGGAAATCAGGGATCACGCCCTCTTGGAAAGTCCTGGATCCACCCCTGTGCAGTTCATTTGATAGGAAAACGCTTTATATTAGCAGGATTAAACTGAAACAAAAATATAACTACAGACATGAAACGACAAAAAACGTGTTTATGACTGTTTTTAAAGGACAACATTACGGACCAGCAGATGTTATAACCATTGACTGTAAAACTGAGTTCAAACAGAAATAATCGAGCTCAGAGCTGTCGACGGGACTGGATACTAAAACCCAATTTTCTGATAGATAATAAATTCATCAGATCTCGGGTAACTTTCCTCAGATAAGGAGTTTCTTCCCCACCCCACCTCCACCCCCTGGAAAAAATGGATCGAAAAATGAACAACACTTAAAAAAAGAAGGAAATGAAAAAAAAAGAAATATCCAAATTACTTTAATTAGCTGTGTGAAAAAATGAGTCGCTGATTGCATGGTTTCTCGGATCGGACTCGGAACTTACCCCCTTCCAATTTGATGGTTTGTATAGTTTGCCAGTGCAAGTTGCCCCTTGCCGGAAATAACCTTTTCTCGTCCTGTTTCCAGTTTCCATGCTGAGCACATTTATAATTATATGGACCAAATCCGGTCGCCATATGTGCTCAGTAGCCGAAGGAGTAGCTTGGCCTACCGTCGGCACCGGACCAAGGCGGGGGAAGAGGGCGGGGGCTTGATTGGCCCCACCGTTTCATTTTTTGTATTTCTGGAGAACGAAGATAGAGCGTATATTTGATGCTCAGTTCTTTTTGTGAACTCTTCAATTATTTTTGTTGCTGATATATTGAAACAAACAAATCTCTGGGAATTTTGCGACAATATCGGTTCATGTTGGACTTATGGAGGGCGGGGAATTTTTTCGACGGGGGGGTGGTGGCCCCCCTTTTTGCAGAGCCTGTAATGGTTTGGGGGCTTAATAGATTGGCCCATTAATAGCTGATGCCTGATGGTCTAATAAATTGCCCCCTTTGAAAATCGTTCCGGCGCCACTGAAATGTCCACTTTCTATCACTTGTTCTATGAATTACTTCCACACTTAACATCATCAAGTTCTCGAAGGTTTCTGTTAACAATGCCATCAACTACAGTGGAAAATTTCTAACAGTGTACAATTAACATAGCTCAGATATAACGGTGCCGTATCCTAGTCCCCCGTGGCGAAACTGGGGCGGGGGATTCCAATTAAGAGAGCCTCCTCATTTTGAGCATGGTCTGAGCCCCCCCCTCCCCCGACAAATCCCGGGCCCTGTGTGCCACTCACGCGAGACCGTGGTCGTTGACCAGATAAATCTCAAAAAGATTTTGCCGGACTCAAGTTCAGAAGACTTAGGGAATTGCTAAATCACCCAGGATCGCATAACCCTTTTAAAATTCCTGCCGGTGCAGAGTGATGATGATATGTCTCACATCATGTGGAGGATCACAGGGCAAGTTTTCCATCCAAAATCGGCGGTCAGCTCGCGATGTCTGCATGTACACAGCCTGAGCCGGGGCGCGCCCACCCAGGCCCACCTGCCTAGTTGTCTCCACCTGCACCATTAATTTTCAAGTTGTTTAGCAAAGTAATAACACTGATCCCACATTTCTTCTAATTTCATTTAAAAACAATTTGCCACATATTTTCTAAAATGGTCACCGGTGTGGTTATTGTTCGCCAGCCGACTCCTTCAAGTTGCGTAGCGCCAACTGTACGGGACAGCTAACATCAGGCGTTTGCACAGCAAGCTACACAGATTAAGAGTCACAGAACTTGTGGCCCTACTTTTGTCTGCCGGCTTACGTCAATTGATGGATCCGCCCACCGTACGTTCCACACGCATTTCAGTACGAACTACACGTTTCTTATAGTTTTTATCGATCACGCACAAAAAAACATTATCATAAGAAAAAATAATAATTACATCTAAAATTGAAAGCACAGCTTTTGATACATATTGACTTTAATTTTTATACTGGAGTGATTTGTAACACAATGCAATGTTCCATGCAATTTCTTTTAAATATTTATTCGTACGAGGCTGTGTCGTCATGACTACAGTGGAATAAGCATATCATTATTACATGCATAGTACACACGATACGCGGTTTACCCGTCTGGGAATCCAGATGGAAGCAATTTTGAGCTTTAAAATTTGTTTCGATAAGGAAAACCTGTTGTAAAAAAATACTAGGAGAGAGATCAACAATTTGCCAGAATGTCGATGGGGCAGACGATGCGTGCACCCAGGGTGCAGCAGACAAGGACTCACGATTATCTTTACGGTGAGTTTCTGGAGTAAACAGTAAGTCAGCTAGACCACTGCAGACGGTCCTGAGAAGTGATGCTAGTTCGGCTGTAACAATAACATTAATATGTCAAAACCCGTTGCGCTATTCCATCGATCATTTGGGATGCCATTTTATATTCCAGCATTAATGGGGGATGTTGTTTGATTCAGAATGGGTTCGTTACCCTTCTTGTTTGATTCAGCAGGGGTTCCTTACCCTTCGTGTATCAATGATCAATGGTCAACCAGTCCAGTGTCAACAAACACATGAAACGTAGTCAGTGCAGTGACACGTAGGCCTACTGTCAAAAAGACATTAGCAGGTCGGGGACCAAACTACAATCTAGCGACGTACCTAGTTCTGCTGATGTCGTTAGTTCAGGCGACGATGATATCATTTTTATCAGGTCACGTGATAATGATGAATTTTGTTATCTCAAATATTACATTGTAACTTGAAAATCATTGATTAGTGATTGGCCTGGGCTAGTAATGGAATGCTGGTCAACTCGTACACATGCCAACTCGTATGCGCTAGCTCATACGCCGACCAACTCGTGTGCCAAATTGTACCATTTTAGTATGATACGTACAAGTACATGTATGTGTGCCGTTGTGTTGCGTACATGTATGTGTGACAACTTGTCCGTTAAGACAACTTGAGCGTTGGAGGCCTGTATATGACAGAGTTTGGCGTGTTTAACACAGATTGGAGATCATGTGTTTGGGCAGATTTGCATTGCAACTCGACTCACCAGGCATGGTGTGCATAGGAACCTGATGATGCAGCATGCACTGGACCACTGGACAGCGTGTCAGCCACCCCCACCGGCACAATGCGTGTCTGCGAAAGCAATGCAGCATGCAAGATAGTGCTGTGCATAGTCCGCATGGGTACGCAGGTGCCTTGGTAGCATCATACCGATGATCAGTTGCTTGTCTGCTGGGGTGGGGGACAGAAGATCTATCCCCTTATCCTTTCCCTTTTTTTAAAATTTGGAATAAAAACGTGGGTGACGTGACCGTGAAGTGCATGCACACTCATGAGCCAACTTATGTCAGTCGAGTTTTTGAATGGTCGAGTTGTCTGTCCATTTAAGGCACAGACAGTCAACTTGTCCCTTCGGTTGAGTTGTTTCATTGGCCAAGTTGTCCTGAATTGAGTTGGCAAACAGTTGAGTTGTCTGAGCCCCGTTAAGGGGTAGTGATGCTCAGTGCAATTTTGATTCCCTCCTGAGTCGATTATCCTACGAATGGATTTCATTCAAAGTCAAATTAACTCTGGATGGAGTACAGTAAACTTGAGCAAGACTCAAGATGGCGCCAAACAGTGGAATGACCTTGCAAAATACCTTGAGGAAAGTCACAAAAGTACAGTTTCGAGGACTATCCAGTCAGTTTACATGAGTTTGTTTTGTATTTTACAGACAATGTGCACACACTGTCGAGTGAGAGGGACCATGCTCGGCATATGTTCAAGGCCCACACGAGCTTGGACAGGGTTGTAAGTTGGAAAAAAAAATTTGTGTGTTTCCTAGACTGTTAATTGTTGCTTAAAATTGGTGTTTTTGCCAAAGCAGTGCTCCTAATTTTAGGTAATGAATATTTTGCCCAGTGTTGTAGTCAAGACCATCTCAGGACCAGATGCAAGTAACAGTGTGAACAATGACCAAGGAATGCTTTTGTTGCAGTTCATTTGAATAGCTTGTGACCAGTGTTCTAGCTAGGACCATTTTAGTGCCGGGTAAATTTTTGGATTACAAAGCACAGTGAGCGCAGTTCTTAATGCTTTCTGATGCTTGAAATACGATCCAATTGGTACATTTAAATTTTCAGTAATATTTCAGTTCATTTTTTTGGAAAATCCGTGCTGGGTGGCACTGCCAATTTCAACCCTGAGTGCCGGGCGGAAATTTGCAGTACCGGGTGGTGCCGCCCGGCGCCGCCCACTGCGGCTAGAACCCTGCTTGTGACTTGATTTCGGACTGGAGGTCTTGTGTTGAATTCTTGTGATGGCCTTGTATGGTTTGTGATGGTCTTAAGAGGTCTTGACTACATCACCGATATTGCCTTGAGCGACTCTACATGTATAACTCCTAGTGCATATTTGTCATGAACTCAGTGTGATTGGCTGTCCTCAAACAGTATGAGAATAAAGGAGGCCCAGCCATTACTGCACTGGCAAAGACAATTTATGAAGTTGGAAACACTCAACAACCAGTTATTAAAGTTATCTGATTGTTTTAGTTTGGTTTTAGAAAAAGAATGTCTTTGAAATCAAAGGCTAGCCCAAGAGATCTATTGAAGCAAAAGTTCAGAAGACATTTTCCATGGTCAGCCAATAAAAATTCAGAATAACATAAATTGGTTGAAAAGAGACAGCCTTCGGTCTTGCGGGGAAACTTTCGAAACTGAACTTGTCACTCTTTCTCGGCAGAAAAAAGTTCCCCTGTACAAGACCATGTTCAGTGCACTGCGCCACCACCCACGGTTCCAAATGCGACTGGACACAACGGATCCCGTTCCGAGGTTCATCTCCCGTCAGTGGCGGGGCTACTCCACTCAAGCCAGAGAGGCCTTGGTTCGATACAAGACGTAAGTGTCACATCACTTCCAGAAGCTTGGCTGAGGCCAAACAAAAAAATAGCTGTGTTTCCGGTTACCAGACCCAGCCTAGAAAATCATGCTGAGCCTATATCCTTTTATTCGACAAATCAATGAAATATAAAAACTTATGATGCCTTGCCCCGAGCCTAATTTTGTGTACATTGTCCTGTACATTGTATTGTTTCAACTTTTTTTTTTTGCTTTGCATGAGATGGACGGCTCTTGTGTGTTTATATTACTACTCAATCACAGGGCTGATGTGTAATATTGACATGCACATTTAAAGTATGAATCTGACACTGACTCATTGTAGTACCTGTTACACATATTCTTGCCCCCCTTAAAAAAAACAGATCATCATCGGACCTTAATTTTTTTGGCTATAAAAAGTCGAGAGTAAAAGAAATATTTTAACCAACCAACCAACCGACCACTCTCATTTATTTTTCAGTGTAATAGGAAGCACAACTAATTTTTTGTTTGGCCTAAGCAGGTTGTTTCTGTATTCAGCAACTATGGGCATCAGGGAGCCCCTTCAAATATCTCCCGCCTCCCCCCCCCCCAAAAGCCACAAAGCAGATCTGTTTCAAGTCAATTTCACTCACCAGGCTCAGTTTTTATCTACAAATTACCTTAAAGTGAAATGGTTCCCTTCTTTCCACCAGGGATGGTATGCCCGTCCACAGCAGGTTGCTTCCCAGTTAATACCACTACCTATTTTCACTCCTGGATTGAGAGAGACAGTCGGATGCAACATATGATCACCGACTGGATTCCAACCCCAGACCCTCTGGTTACAAATTACAAGCCTTCATAACCACCACGACTCCCTACACGTGTACATGTATTGTGTTCATAACTTAACAGCCTGTGATGTTCTTGCCGCAGATTTAACTACGCACCTGATGTCAAGCTCCCTCCCGTCCAGTTTGCCCAGCATGATGTCGGGGGTCAGGATCGGTACAAGTTCTTCCGTCGTCCCATCATCCCTTTCTTGCAGCAGGTGCCTCCCGAGGTCGTTCTGCACACCTCAAAGTAAGTTTAGATTCCGCAGATGTTGCTGCAAGGTGAACAGTTTTGATCGCTGACCCGCTCAGGGGGCTGAAGTTTCTGATAAATTCACCCTGGTGTAATTGCTAAGTTTATTATCGATTTCTCTCCCTTTATTTTATATCGTAGGACAAAACTTGAAAAATCTATTGAAGAGAAAAGATGTTCTGGTCTAGATAAAAGTTTGAACAAACTGACATCAGTGATGTGACAGACTCCCCCCAAAAAAGAAAATAGTATAAATGAATATGAAAATAAAAATTTGTATAAAGAAATCTAATAACAATTTGTAATTAAAATCATAAAGGCAAGTTTAAGTAATCCAAAGAATAAAAACACGATGTAAAAAAAACAAAAACAAATTAACCACATGAGTGAAGAATAAAAGATGACCAGCAAAACTCTCAATCTATTGATACAGTAATTAGTTAAAAACAAAAGCACCAGATCACGAATCATGAAAAAAAAAAAAAAAGGAATAAGTAAAAAAGCAAATTATTGTACAGCATAAAAATGTTGTCTATTAGAGAGTAGCTTCAAGTTCACTTTTTTACTGCCTTGAGGAAAAAAGTGCTTGGACATGACGTTGGTGGGGGGTACCCATGCAGCAATAGTTGCTAAACACAGAAGGTCGTGCACAGCAGTCAAGTTCAAGTAAACGCATAGCCTGCCTCCACAGTCGTCTCAAACATAGTGGGTCTACAAAACAAATGGGAGATTAGCATGTTCAGATGTCAGCCGCCGTTTGAGTCATAGTGTGCTGGATATTTCAACCCATCAGCTGTGCTCGTGTATACAGGTAGCCAGATTATGTTTACAAACCGTCCGGCATGAAATGGTTGAGGGGGAAGAAGTGTTACCGCTCTCATCTCCGCACAAAGTCAGGATTCAATCGTTTATTTGGTCGATTCTTTTCTCGTACAGGCTAGATCCATTTGGCCAGCAGGAGCAAGTCATGATGGAACGGTCCCCAACACCCCTAACCAGAACGGTGGACGTGCAGACAGATTACCGGGAGAGTGAGACACAGACGGACCCCTATACGCCAGAGTACGTGGTGCGGCCGGGCTCCCAGCCGGAGCTGCTCACGCTGGCCACTCTGTCATACGGTATGCTCGGGGGTCTTCAATGTCTGACAAGTTCAGTTTTCAAAAGATCTGAGAATTAGGAGGAAGTGTTTTCATGCAAAGCCTCGCCTGAGACATATCTTGAACTATTAAAGGCTAGGTCTAGGTCTTCTGTGGGTGCAAATATCTGCACCAGCAATAACTAGGTGTGACAGCCCAATTTAGACATGGCTTGTGTGTCTATAATGTGACTTTTGACCTTATCATGACAAAATTAGAAAACTCGAGCCGTTTTGAGAATGGGCTTCGAGAGCTGTGGTTATGTCTTTTATCAGAAGGCTCCTTTGTATTTCCAATGGAAATTTTGTGAAATCGGTGCAGTCTTAAAAAATTAAACACTTTTAATGAATGCAAACTTTTTACCAGGACTGTAGCTGCCGGTCGTGGAAATGAACTGGACTGTTTGAAGAAACTTCCAGAATTCGAGTGTCTGCCGAGAGGTTTCACATTGCTGTTACTTCTCAATGGATGTATTCTGAACTCCCCGATAATTGTTTTGCTGTTTGTTTCAGGTCACGGTCTGCCTGCGGGTCTGGCCGAGGTGGAGATGATCGAGAGAGCCCGGGCCAAGCGTGCCTGGGAGGCCACCCTGCCCTCCCTCAATGACGTCTCACAGCTGGAGAAGAGGAAGCGGATGATGGACGAGATGGAGCGGAAGGAGTGGGCTCTCAGGGAGCAGGAAATTGAAAAGTACAGCATTCCTTGTTTTTTTTACTTTGTCCTGCAAAAGCAAAGTTCATGAAGCCTTGTTTTATCGTGACATTTATTTGTTTACTTGAAGACGTACTTTGCATCGGGGAGATGTTCATTTTTGATAACAGGTTTTCTGCCTTAAACCAACGCATATCACTGTTTACTCAGTGTTTGTCCAAGAGCTTTCGACCAAAAAAATTCACAAGCTTAACGCTCTGATGGGACTCAAGTAAGCTCTGCCACTGACTATCGAGACCCTCATTGTTTTTCCCCAGGCTGCAGGAAGCGAGGTTGGAACTGCTGACCAAAATCCTGCGGGAGAGAGAAGAGAACCACGTGGAGCTGAACAGCAAGCGGCTGGACAAACTCTGGAGCAAGAAACAGAAAGAGCGGGAGAGGAAGGTGAACTGGATACGCAAGGAACACATCAAGGGTGAGTCCAGGCCAGAAAGATGGTCAGCTTCACCAGTGTCTTCCACAGCAGGGACGGATGGCACAAAGCTGAAGAAGATTGTTTCCAAAAAAAATGCAAGGAATGTCAGAGATTGCATACCAGAGAAGAGAGAAATTTGGGTGACGGAAGAGGAAACTGCTCACACACGTCAGGCAGGCGCTACCAGTGTGAACGAAAAATTCCGGAAACGGGTGGTGCTTGAAAACTGGTTCTCTGTCACAAATTGAGTTCTGTGCAGAATTGTGAATAAGAAAAGAGGACTGCTGTTGGACACCAGCTGGAGTAATTGTGTATGCAGTTGATGTTCAAAGTTTAGGAAAGCTCCACATTTCACTTGCAGTTGTGGTCTAACGTTTATATACACATGGCTTGTAAGTGTTTACAGGTTTGCAGACTCAATCTGTTCCTGGCAACCATTCCTCTTCTATAGCTGGGCAATTAGAACATTTACTGTACTTTCAAAACTTTGTTTTCAGATTTGAATAGATTAACTGCATGCGCTGGCCGATCAGTACTGTAAAGAAGAATGATTGCCCCAAAATTTGACTCTCAAGTTATCAAACACCTTCAGTCCTGTTAGTAAATACAGACTGTCGACCACAACTGAAGGAGTTATTTAGTGTAAGCACCAGGAATGGGTTTGTCTTTATTAGCTTTTTACTTTGAAAGTCACATATTGTACAATTCAATTATTTTTTTTCGGGTGGAATGATTGTTAACAGCGATCCGGAAGCTGACCCTGAAACGCAGCCAGGTGGAAGGGAACTTGGAGCGGCGAGACATCACCCAGGAATATGCCAAGTACGAGTCGGAGGTGTATGGTCCTCGGACGCGGCACGGCGTCTTCCTGGACAAGGGATCGGAGCAGTACGTGGTCAAGAGCAAATACCTGGACACTTACCAAGGTGAGCGCCGAATCTCTGGTGGCTAAGGGTCCACCTGATTGAGTGGGAATGTGCAGAGAGTCGCAGAGGAGTGATGCAAAAGAGGGTTGCAGTGGTATCATGGACGTGCTCCCTTAGCAATAAAGGTCCCAATATATGCCTACTTTGAAAAACTTGCACCATCGTTATTACGAGATGATTGTTGAAGGAGGACAGAGGTTGGTTATCTGACCCACAGCATTAAACTGAAATGAATTCTTAGGGCAAAAATGCAACACTACAAAACTCATGTGAAAAGAGCCATGTTGGTGTGCAGTGTTCATTTTGCTGGTAGTGATGCGACTGTAACACAAGCATTTCATAGTCGTTTGTGAACCAGCAGTTCCAACCAAAGTACCCTCCGTTGGTAGGAAAATGCTCCCTGTCTTGGTCCAGCTTGGGGCTTATAACGTTGCACTCACTGTTTACCATTTAGCCTGCAATTGCAGGGCTTTAATCCGTCTTTACAATTGTCAGATAGCAAATTCAGAAGGTGTCCCCAAATTTGCTTGCACATGGAAAGTCTTTTTCTACATGAGAGATGGTATCTTCTGTTTATGCTACTTTCTGTGTGAAAGATAACGGTTGGCTGCAAACCTTCAAGATTTGATCTTCATTTTTCCAGGGTTGTTGGAGCTGGAGCACACCTTGCCGGACTTTGTGACCCAGCCCAGGGTGGTGGCTCCCAGACCCAAGTCGCAGGGCAAGACGGGCTTCATCAAACGAGCCCAGCGCCGACAGAATGAGCTGGATGAAATCTACAAAGGTAAAGAGGACCTGTCATTCCCCCCGTAAGGCTTCAGTAGCTCGTCGCTGACACCACAAACAGTCAAATGATGGTACTTGACTGTGCTCCGCTTGCAAAGAAGTTATAGACCTGTGCCATTTTCGTCGCCACAAACTGTATAGCAAGCACCGCATCCACACACTCTACGCATTTTTATTTTCAGAGACTGAAACTTTTCTGAATTTCCCAAGTTAAAAGATTTCCGGTGCCAGTTTTTCTAAACCTTGCAAATGGATCGAGTAAACTCACGTAAAACACTGTCAGCTTGTTTCTCTAAAATTTTTTTCCACAGCATGCTTGTGTGTCCGTTTGTGAAAACCAGTCATATCTGTAACCCATCAGTGTTCATAATGCACACAGTGTTTGTTTATCACCAGGATTTCAAGAAGTGACGAGAAACAGTATGAGCATTTGAGATTGTAATGACAATTATGGTTGTTTATTAACAGGAAAGGGTCCTTGATGTTTGTCCCTTGGTACCTGGTAACACATTGGTCAAATAGAAATCCAATTGCCTCTGGTTTGCGTCACTTATTTGAAAGTTTCCATTCGAATCCATCCAAGTAAATTTGTAAAGTTCTTTCCCACAATCTCTCAGAGCAGTGTGTACTCCTCATGAGCCCTTACTGTTGAAGGACATAAACCCCAGAGGCAAATTTCCTAGACTGGAATACATTCATCCAAATTAAAACAGTTCAAAATGATCATTCATTTTTGGATTTTTGCCCTGCCCAACCTGTATTTTAACGCTGTGTACTCAGTGTATAAAAATAACTCAGTGTGTTAAAATACACGTCAGGCAGGCAAAAACTCCAAAACTAATTAACATCTCCCCGGTACAAATCCATCTTTTAAATAGTTCAAAAAGATGACAACTTTGTTTCCTAGCCGTGGTGTTTGGTTCAGTGTTTGAAGAGAAAAATGATGTTGCTTCACAACTTGCCTATTAAGTTAATTTCTACAAGTGACGAGTTAAAGTAGTTAGCGCTAATGCGCGCATAAGACCAAAAAGAAGATGAAAAAAAAACCAAGTATTATTGTCAGTGGCTACAGCTATTCTTCATAGCATGCAAATGACAAAAACTGAAGCCACAGCCAGAACATCCCCCTTTTGATATAAAGATAAGCTAAAGAATGTTATACCCTTAGAGGGTTGTATGGAGTGATGGATGCCCACATCCACGGAGGAGCAGCCCTGTTCATCAGGTTGTCAGAATTAACCCCACGTTACCTGATGTTTGAAAAGCTGATTATTAAAAAAAGGAAATTCTGGGATTAGTGATTTTCATGTCAGGATGTTAGCAGTCTTTCAACTAATATAGCACACTGGGCTTTCTGATGCACAGGAATCAAGGACATAAAGACCAAGGGTAAGGAGGCTCCCAAGCCTCTGCGCTTCCTGCAGAAGATCGAGAAGCCCATCCCCCGGCCGCCCACGCCCTCTGTCGAGGTGCCTGACCTGGTGGAAGAGGAGAGGGAACTGGCTATCATCTTCCTACAGCAGGTCATCCGTGGCAGGGCCATACAGAACATGGTGAGATCCGGGTGTGATTTTTGCCTGGTTGCCCGCTCTGTTTGGGGGGCTGGTTTTAATTAATTGGCTCTGTGCGTGCACTGTTGAGGGCACTTTAGTGGCTCTGCGGGCCAGTGGAAGGTGTGTTTTTGTTGGCCCTGTGTAGGCATTGTTAAGGTCACTTGAATCGCTCTGCATGGACTTTGAGACTGCTTTTATTGGCTCTGTGTGGGTACCATTGAGGCGGCTTCATTAGCTCTGTGCATGCACTGCTGAGGGCATATCATTAGCGCTTTACAGGAACTGTTGGTTCTGTGGTTCCGTGGAGGCACTGCAGTAGGGTGCCTTTTTGGTTCTTCACGTACTGTTCTGGTTTCTTTTAGTGATAGCTCTGCAAGTGCACTTTCGGTTGGCTCTGTGCTTGTGCCGTAAAGATTACACGATTGCCTCCGTGGGTGTACTCCCGAGGGCACTTTATTGGCTGTATGCATGCATCGGTGGTGGCACTCTAATGACTTTGCTCATGCACTGTCGAGGGCACTCCAAGGCTAACCGTTGTGGGAATGGGATCACTTAGGACTTGGAAACTCAAGAAAGTCATATTTTGAAGGCAAGGAAGAAAGGCACTGATTTCAGCTGTTGTGACTAGCACCCCCCTCGATGCAATTGACACGTCTTGTTTCAGTAGTAACCTTAACGTGAGGTTCTGTTTTCCATCAGATGTTTGAGGGCAAGGAGAAGCGGCAGGAGCTGATCAACGAACTGCGCAGCACCCACGCCCTGCAGTCAGCCGAGCAGCAGATGAAGAAACAGGAGAAACAGTCCACCCTCAACCTGCAGCGACAACGCAGGTTGCACCAGCACAAGGTAGGAGTGTGTAGTAGCGCTGCTGTGCTGGCTCCGTGCATAGCATGGTATGGTCTGCTCATGAGAAGATTAGACACCTGACTTGGTTCAGTTGTAGACAAAAGCTTGCATACAATGGAACCATATAAATTGGGTTATTCTATAAATTCAGGGTCGTATATGTGGCTGTCCCTATTACACCTGACCTGCGTACTTGAACAAGGGATATATCATTGGAAGTGGCTTCAATTTTGGTTCGTTGGGCAGGTAATTTGCATAACTTAATTACTCTTGGAGACAAAAGAATGTGCTGTCAACTTGCAAAATCATGCGGCAGATGTTGCAGGGACAGGGGAAAAATTAGACCCAAAATTTATAGAGTGATCCAACTGCAAGTTTCAAGACTGATCATATTATTTTATTTTTCTCTGCAACTGATAAATCAAATTTAGACGAATTGTAACCAATATCTGTTATGCACGAGCAATTGTTTTTCTGTTAACCCACTTTGCATTGAAACTGTGCCTTTCTTTTACCAACAAATATCTTTTCATTCAGACTGAATTGGCATAAAAGCATGGGATTGTCTCAGACGTTTGTGTGGGTTTTTTCTCAGTCGTGTCACGATGTACATCTTAGAAACATTTCACCACCACTGGAAGTTACTTCACAAGTACATTATAAGTACCTCAGTCATAGTGCTAACCATAACGAGAGACTTTCCACAGTCATTGTTCTGCTCAATAATAGCGACATGAAGAAGTATTTGGCCACGTGGAAGAGAAAGCTAGTGATAAACACAGCACTGGAGTACAACACTGTGTTCAGAATTAAATATCGCAGATCAGTGCCACCCTGGCATTAAACTGCATAAAATTGAGAAGTGTAAAAAAAAAAATGCAGACATGACCAGTATAGAGTCCCACTCCTCTTTGGGCCCCGAGCTGGACCATGAGAGGGCGCTATTTTCTTTTAGCAACAGAGACTCCTTTGGCACTAACTGCTCATCGCCGGTTCATGAACGATGAGGAAATGCTAGCACTGCAGTCGCGTTGCTACCAACAATATGAGCGCTCCCAACCAACACGGTTCTTTTCAACTGATGGTGGGGTGCTTCTGCTCGAGGCGGAAGGTAGGGAAAAGCAGACTTTATATAGGATAGGAGCAGAAGTAGCCATGTTAATTGGTAACGATCCCACCCACCTTTCAGGAATCCTTCGTGGACGAGGCCATGTCCCAGCTGGAAGGCGAGTCAGCCGGGGACATGCTGGACTTCCTCAGCAAGGAGCTGATTCGTCTGCAGGAGGAGCGGCGCATCCACGCCTACGCCATGCTGGCCGAGAGGCAGCGCCGCATCCGGGAGGCCGAGGAGTCTGGGCGGAGACAGGTGGAGGAGAGACGGAGGCGGGAGGAGGACGAGATCTTCAAACAGGTAGGCACGATGGACGCCTCCTCCATGCCAAAGATTTACCAGTTCAAAATATTCACGGCTTCTGACTGGTGCCTCAGAACAATAATATCGACAAAGGAAGAACCAATGTAGGGCTGGGTAGCTCAGTCTGTTGAGCACCGGTAGAGCGCTGCAGAGGTCACAGGTTAGAATCCTGCTCCAGTCATTTTCTTTATTCATCTTTATAATTAGCTTGTAAGCACCTAGTCAGTTACCCTTTATGTTTTGCTTGATAAAAATGTTTGCTTATGGCACACACTGGCTGTCTGACTCAAACCAGTCAGCTGGCACCCACAAACCCAGTGCTCGATTGGTTAAGATGCTTACGCTAGTAAGTAGGAGGCCATGGGTTCGAGTCCCACCTGAGCAGAATTGCAAATTTCTTTCACAGGCTCTCTGACAACACTGATGAGACTCTGGAAGAAATACAAAAATAAACACCTCTCCACACAAAAACCATTCGTCTTGTGAAACATAAGTAAAAAAGGAACACATGACAAGTGAAGTTAGGGTGCTTTTGTTGATGGGTGTCAGTGACAAGACACACATGATAATGAATGTCGGAAGTAAGCTGTCAATTAATTCTGATCATGTAGGTCAGTTCTAACATGTAGGTCACACATTGGCACATTTCACCTAGGAAAGGATATGAGGTTTGGGTTAGAGAAAAAAATCTGTAAGTGAATACTATAACCTTAAATAATCATTACGTCCACGTCCACTTCAACCTTGGCATTTGTTCGCCATAATTGTTAAGCCAAGATTTAAGTAAAGAGTGTGCAGTTTTGAAGTTCACCGTTGCCAATTGTAAAAAGGCACCGACCTGTAAGGAACAAGTTGTTAGCAATTACAGTGACTGTACCTACCCCCTCTGGCAGGTTGTCAAGGTACATCAGAACTCAGTGGACACGTACCTGGAAGACATCATCCTGTTGTCCATGGACAACACGGCAGACAAGCAGGCCAGGGAGGAAATCCAGATGATGGCACAGCGCATCAACGAAGTGGCTTACGACATGGAAGACAGGTATCGCTGGTGTATTTAGTCTGAGGGGGCGGCAAAAGTGCCAGTCTTTGAAAAATGTGGAAGTGATATAAAGTCTTGGCTAAGTGCGGGCCCCCGCAGCGGCCTCCAAAGGGTGGAACCAGTTATTGTAAGGGAAGAAATTAGAATTCAACAAGAGGTAACTTATAGTTGTACTTGGAGTATCCCACAAAACCCTAAAACATTTTAAACCTCAAGGTCAATTTCAAGTTTGACCTCTTGTTTAAATTTGCATTCCTCTGTTCCTGAACTGCTTCAGTCACATTGCATTTTTTTTCTCTCAAGCATGACAAGAGGCTGTTTATTTCGGATACGACGTTGAGGACAGCAGTCCGATGTTGGCCACCCGTGAGGTTTATTCCTACCTCATTAACAAAAATTTGAACCTACCAATCTATGTACACTTGTATCACTGCTTCACAGAAGTGTTGTGGTCAAGACCCCACAACACAAGACCAAAAAAGCATTCTGTCATTTTTCGCATTCAGCCTGTTACTTGTGTGTAGTCTTGTTTCTGGTCTTGAGATCGTCGTGTTTATAAACCTTTTCTAGAAAGGCCTTTCATTTGTGCTATACCTTTTCATAATTTCCCAGGTGCTCCACTACATTTCGATTCCAGAAGCGATTAAGGATGATTGGTTCTGATGAAGACAGGGCTTTAGAATAAATCACCAAAAACATTGCTATTGGTTTGTGAGGATCATGTAATTTTTTTCTCCTTGTTGCAGGAAAACGGAACTGGAATCAGAGGAGATCGTTGCTGAGCTGGTCTCCACATTCCTGCTACCTGAAGTCCAGAAGATCACCGTCCGAGAGAAGGGTAAGCCATCAGTAATGCTGTTAGACTTGCAACCCTGCCTCCGTCCTGACTTGAATCATTCTTGGCTTCAGAAATGAGAAGCCATGCCTACTATAATAGACTAGCCACTCAAACATTTGGTCCCGCTGCACGATAATCGGTGTTTACATTTTCTGAACGAACGGTCCATCAGAAAGTCTATTTCCAACCTCACAGTTTCATCATAAAGTCCTGTGGAAATTATATTCTGACACAAATTAGTTCAAAACATCTGAGCAGATTTCTATCAATTCTCCAGACTACAGACACTCATGGTATATCACATGATTCAGAGGGAGCTCTATGTACCTGTGTAAGCTAGATTGATTGTATTGTTTGAGCGTGGTACCAGAGCATGGGACCCTTTCAGGGTTGGCAGTTGCTGACTTGATGCTGGTTACAATTGCGTGGCCAGCAGCAGTTTATAATTTGTTCATCCAACAGCACATTTAGTGCCAATTACAGGATAATAATGAGGGAAGAACACAGTGAAGAAATGTTTAGTTTCAGAGGTGGGAGGAAAACCTAGGATAAATGTTTAGGAGAAACCCACAGACTCAGGTTAGGGATGGAAATCCAATCCACACGTGGACTGAGCCAGATTCGAACCCAGGCCCCCAGAGGTAGAAGGCAAGGAAAGAAACACTACGCCAACCTGACCTGTGGTATATTCAAAATTTGAGGGTAAATGTTACTTGGGATTCAAAGTTAGCACTCAAAAAGCCTCTGGAGGAAGTTTTCCAACTAGAACTCATGACATTCTCTGCTCGTAACTGTTCCCCGCTAGTCAAACTGCAGCAGAGGAAGCACCTGCTAGCTGCTCATAAAATAGTCCACAAGGAGACAGAGGAGGTCATCACCCAGCATCCCACGCCAGCCAAAGCTCAGGGGTCACAGGGTCGAACTGTTGGGTCACCCAAGCCGGGCTCAGCCAAGGAGGGTCGGTCCACCCCCACAAAGACATCGAGGCCGGGTGAGTGAAGTGGCTTTGTGGAGCGAGACCATTGAAAGCACAAACATCTTTCTCTCCGGGCCGAAACTCGAAATCAATATTTAAGACATGCCCTTCTCTCTAAGTAAGGAACTGTGGACGAATCGATTAACGATTAGTTGCTGATGCATTTCGTAAGTCCAGCCACAAGCCTTATCACAATTAGCAGGCCGAACAAAAAAAAGGATAGTTTTTGTCAAATTTGAATAGCTTGTGACTTGCCTCAAGACTGGATGAATCGTGATGGTCCGTTTTTATTTATATTTTGGTTATTTTTACCTTGCACCAAGTCTATTTTAATAGATCTCTTTGTACTCAGTATTGTCCAAGGGCTTGTGGAAAAAAACCAATATGCAAAATGTTTTACATGGTACCAGGTTTCTTGACTCTAAACTAGTCAGCCATACCATGCCAAGCTTGGTGGTCGAGTGGTAAGAGGCCTGTACTAGTTAGCAGGTCATGGGAGGTCAATCCTCCAAAAGTCTCCCAAATCACCTGTTAGATTTGTAAGCATCCCATAGGTGTGTGGTTAAGAATGTTCGTTTTGGAGGGTTCTAACCCGGTATTCCATGATCCAATGACTTACAGGATCTGCTGCCAAGTCCACCAGACGGACGCCAACTCCCACAGCCGGGGCACCTGCCACGCCCGTCACCTCCAGACCCCCTAGCGGCACGCCCCGTGGCTCCCCTGCCCCCGAAGGCACCGGCTCCCCTAAGCCCAGACCCGGCAGTGGCCGTAGGAGGTCGGACGGATCGGCCGCAGGATCAAGATCAGCCTCGCCCAAGGTACCCACTCAGAATGTGTTTCACAATTGGCCAGTGTTGAACTGGGGTAGCAGAGCATTAACTCATTGTTTGCAGTGGAAACTCGCACCTGTTTACATGATGCACAGCTTCATGGATGTAACCTCAACAAAGACCACATCTTAATTGGGAAAGAGTGTAAACTCTAACATGAGGTGACTAAAGGTTAACCTTGAGGCTTTCTGAGGTTTAACAAGGGGAATAAACTCAAGTTTTCCCTCCTGCCTGTGGCACGTGGATGTCACTTCTAGCCAGCGGCTTCCAGTGCATTTGCCATTCTGATCTTTCCAACTCAACGTAATTGCAGTATGCTAAATGGTACGGTAGGGTGCTAATATGGTAAAGTCCCTTCATACCCAAGGTACAAATTCTACATTTAGAACACACAGGGTTGTTTGGAGGATGCACATCTCAGCAGGTATTTGTGGTTGAGTCTCGGATCTTCACGTTCGCATGCTCTTTGTTATTTCCATCTCGGAATGAACCCAACCTGTGCAATATCCCATGCAGTGTGGCAGACTAGATTGATTTGGACCTTTTTGGTAGCTGGGGTGGGTTGTGGGATCATCGCATCTTTTTTTTTTACCTTTTTGTTCATTTAAGAACTCTGTTCAGCTCATTCCACCAAGATGGCGTAAGCAGGAGCCATGACATTGAGTGCAAACCGCCCATACCCTTTCACGTTCTTATATTTTGGCTGCTTTCAGTTTGTACACACAAGTCGTGTAGTTATGTTACGTGCTAGCACAGCTGGGGACTTTCTGTTCGCAAGCTTCAAGCTGCATCCCCAAGGGGGCTTTGATTTTCCTCGTCTGTTTGTCTGCTCTTCACAATCCTGTTTCAACAGGAGGCTTTAAAAAAATGTTACATTGCATCTTCACTATATTTTTGTACAGTGATTGTCAACTGAAAATTGATATGAATACATCTTCCCACACTGTAATTACGCACAGAGTGACAAATTGTAAGATTTTTCAACTGGATCGATATCAATTCTGAAATGTTGGGTCCATCTGGTGTTTAAGTATAGAGCTTCCCTTCAATTTTATTCTTGGAAAACGAAAACGTAATTTTGCATTCATATTGTTGGAACACTTCCCTCTAATGTCACACCTTCACCATGCCTTTCACAGTATCTGTCCTGCCATCTATCTGCCTGTCTATCACCCTGTGTGTTTCCATCCTTCTGCTTCTTCCGGCAGGTTGTCAGCAGTGCCACTCAAGTCACTCAATAACTTCCCACTTGATTTCCTCTACCCTTTCCATGCTTGCAGTGTAAGTGACAACCACTTTTAGGGTTTTGCTTGTCGCAAACAGTGGTTCATTTTCATGTAGCAGTGTTGTAGTCGAGGCTATCACAAGACCATGCACAAGACCATCACAAGCCCAGTAACGAGACCATCACAGGACCATGCATAAGATCAGACACAAGACCAGACACGAAAGCAGACACAAGACCATGCACAAGACCATCACAAGCCCAGTAACGAGACCATCACAAGACCATGCATAAGATCAGACACAAGACCATGCACAAGACCAGACACAAGACCAGTCACAAAACCAGTCATAAGGCCAGACACAAGACCAGACAAAGACCAGTCACAAGACCATCATAAGACCAGACACAAGACCAGCCTGACACAAGCAACAGTGTTAACAAGGACAAAGGAATGCTTTTGTTAATACAGTTAAGGTGAATAACTTCTAACCGTCTTGAATTCTGACTGGAGGTATTGTATTGGTCTTGTGTTGCTCTGAAGAAGTCTTGTCTACAACACTGTCATGTAGGTGCTTGTAATAAATGTTTGCCTTCATTGTGCAGGTAACTGTATTCCGTGATGGGCTTATCGTACATTTTTCCATGTTGCATAAATCTTAAATTAGATACACAGTTGTCTTTCGTTAGAACAAAGTTTGTGGGGACCATGCCCACAAACCATGTTGGTTGTTTTCGAATTTCACAGAAAGAGGGGTGCTGGCTTTCCCTTTCACTGTGCATGCGTGGTGTACATAGATGTACAAGTGCCTGTATGTCGTGTAGATTCTCACGTTCAGACTCTGTTCTGATGACACTCTAAGGGAGAACAGTCAATTCACAAAGCAGCGGACATCTCGGGAGCTGGAAGGATTTCACCCAGCTGATGTACTGACAGTTTGCAGTGTGTAATAGTAATTAAGAAGTTTTCATCTGCTCAAAAGTTTTTCTGCCTCTGATGGTACTAACTTCTGTTGTCACATACGTAACCTCTGTTTGGCGTCAAACTTGCTTATCCAACCTTTTTTGTGACCCCTTTTATTTGTACCTCACAGGTTTCAAAGCAATCACCTAGATCTTCCCCAGTCCCCCAGCAATCTACATCATCACCCCAGCCGGTCACGGAAACACCGCGCTCACCCATCCAGGAGCAACCATCCGTCCAAACTCCACCGCCCCCTGTCGACAAAGACACAACCCAGGATACCGTTGCAGCAGTTGAACCGTCCAGCATCCAGGCCCCTGATGCAGATGACGCCCCGCCCCCTGACGCCTCACCCCCATTAGTCCCCGGTGGGGTAGAGCAGACCGAGCCTTCGCCCGACCAAACTGAGCCAGGCCCAGAGAAGGAACAAGACCCCATCGCCAAAGAGCCCACAGAGAAGACTGAGATTGGTGAGACCACGCCCAAAGAGGATGCACCCGAACAAGACACCTCTGCTGCAGAAGCCCCCGCTGACCCTACCCCTGCCCTAGCTCAGGACCTCCTACCCCCTCAGTCCAGTCAGTCCTCCCAGCTGGGGGATCCGCAAGCCCCAACGTCTGGCCAGTCCAACAAGAGCGGCAAGCAGACGGCGGACTCGGCAACTCAGGAGGATGCTAGCATAACCATAACAACGGGACAGGTCCAGGATGAGAAAAAGCCACCAGGAGAAGACACCTCTTGAATCAGGAGTTACCCTACACAATCTAGATACTACCCTCCTAATTGTCCGAATTTTAGACGGTCAGTCATTTGGGTTTTGCAACTTTTGGCTTTTTGAGCAAGTACAAGATTCATATAAATGTGATCATAGCAACGTATTTAACCATCCGTCCAGATCACTGTGTACATGTACATAAAGACAATATCTATGGCTTAATCTAAAGGTGTATATATGTACAGTATAACGATTTTCAATATTTTGTCAATCTAGGATCCTACGTGTGCTTAATAGCTTCACTGGCTGACTGCAAGAGTTCACGTAACTTTTACCAATTCAAGGACATTAATAGTTGTCAATTATGTTAGAAGCCATTCGCAAGTTGTCACTTTGCCAAGGGTTCAACACGCCTGCTTCCCGCTGACGCTTCAAAAGCATTTAGAATAGCATTCAAGAGGCAAACCAAGGTTCATGTCAAATAATTTTCAAGGTGGATATTTTGCGGCTGGTTTGAAGTTTGGTTCACCTTGTGGTGTATATATCAAATACGCGGTGCTTTTTGTTTATTGAGTAAATCTTCCATTATTCCATAAGTTTTGAGTATTTTTCTGCATTGGATGGTTGCGTTGAGTCTTTGACGAAGCAATCATTCAAGCATGTCATCACCTAACACCTTGATTAAAAGAGTTTATTCCTTGTAAATTGGCTAACTTGTATGATACTTGTTGCATGTACGTGTTGTACTAGCATGGAAGTTTTTGGTAGTGAACACACACGTACAGTGTTCATATATTTTTCATTGGTTTTTGTTTACAATAGCCATGATAGTTTGTTTGTTTGGAGGCATTTTTGTTGAAAGAGTTAGGGTGTACATGTACATGTACAAAGTGAGCAAAGATTAGTAACAGGTTCAAAAACGGACCCACGATTTGGGGAACTGGTTTTAGCTTTGGAAAACCCCACTTGTTTCAATGTTCTGTACATAATAAACTGAATATATGTAGATGCAAATCTGGTGACCTGAACTGCTGCTTTTTTTGGTGTAATCTCGTAAGTATTTTAGGTGAATTTATCACTACAGCCCACCTATGATTCGGATTGAAAAATCCTTGCACAAAATCGATTGACTTGTGTAGAATGCTGGAGAGAGGGTTATTAAACGGATCATGCTGCTACAAGTTACCCATCCCAGGGCACATGTTTTTATGTTGAATACACGTACGTCAAGCACCGAATCTCGAACACTGGAACCTTTTTTTGCCAGGGCGGGGCATAATTTACAAAATACTTTGGAAAGCAATTTTCCTTGTACAAAATTCTTCATTGTAAGTAAACATTGGTGTTTAGTGTGGGGGAAGGTCATTAGAACTCTGTCTCTGAAGTGTCACTTTCCTATCCTAAACACGCATATCAAGACCACACCGAGTTCCCCCAGCCAGAAGTTGAACTCATGATATGTAGAAATGAAAGTTCCTGTGCTTACCCCAAGCTGACGATCCTACTCATCACTAACAGAAATTTGGCTGTTTCCACAATTGCTGAAACTATATGTATGCATAACAGTAGCTCATACTGCAGGAATGGTTACAATGCAATTTGAATACATTAAAAAAGGTTTGTAGGAACAGCAAAGTTCTGTTAAAAGTAGTTGAGTAGTGGCTGAAATGAAAACAATTGTTCAAAGTGAGGCAAACCCTGGAGTCACAGTACAATAGGCACCTTCCCATTACTGAGGGCTCAATAAGTCAAGAGGATTCAGGAAGCAGGATCTCAAATGGCCACTACGTGCACAAAGTCCACTTTTGTTTCCAAGCCACTTGTTGCTTGTCACATACGTGTCAGTTCTCTGCATTGGGCTTTGATGTTCTTGGGTAGCTTTCAACAGCAGCACATCCGATTAGAACAGGTGAATGACGTGATGGTAGGATATTTCAAGTCCTGCTCGAGGGAATCCATTCAAGCCCAGATTGGGCCGGCCGTGATTATAAGGTTTATGATCCAGGGCTCCATAGCTGTACAAAATACTCCCTACACCCATGACGGATGACAACAAGTGCAGGCAGCTGTAAATTGCCATCGGTAATACGACGTCACCTCAGCAATACTCATCTCTTGACCCCAGAAACTGCTTTCAAGATATACATGTAACTGGTGTCACTTCCGAGAGGTCTATGCCTCATCATGACAGTGCACTGACACTGTTAACATTCACAGAACTTGTGCAAGTATGTAGCAGCTAAAAACCTGTCTCTATACGAATTCATGAGGTGTTGATTTGATGCTGAGTCTCACTTTACTGCCAGTCTGAGTCAGGTTGACAGGCTCAGAATCTTCGGCTCTTGATGGGCTTGGCATAGATGGGTTCCGTCCAATGAAATATGAACATGAAGACAAGGCAGAGCAGGGCAAATATACTGATGACTGTCAAAATGATGATTCTCGGCCAGAACATTCGGTCTGTTATCTGGAAAATGCAAAATAAACAAAATACATGCTTTTTTAAGTGTCATAAAATACAAGAACTGCAGCAAACCGCTTTTTGGTACGGTCACCTAAAAATAATATGCAAAATGAGGAACTTAGAGGGTCTAAAATTTCGATCCTAGCAGAACCGTTCTCCAAAGCAAAACGGCAGTTATTCTTAGTAATTTGCCTTGAGCGCATGGACTTGTACAAGCACTAGTAAAAACTGCTACGGCCAAGAAGACTGTTGACTCTCCACACATAAAAAAGCACTATGTAATAACATAATGAGCAAATCAATGATCCAAAAGCACGTACTGAAGCACATCTGAGGTCACTCAAGGACAACAATGCGAGTGTATGTTCCCTGTCAGCACGGCCATACGCCAACTCGCATGTGTGCTTTGCTGTCGAATAACCCTGCCTTTTTGCAACACCCATTTAGTTCATTCTCAGCTTCTTTGTTTTCCCACGCAATGTGGTTTGTTCCTCCCACTTCGTTTATTTACAACCAAAACTGCTGGTACACGGAAATCATACCCCTCGTAACCAGTGAGAACATTTCCAAAAAAAATTCAATTCGTGTTAAACTACAATCATGAGTAGATTGCACATGACAAAATGTGTAAAAAGGAAAATGTACAAGGAAAAGGGGCCTTACTTTTGGATACATGCATCAGATACCTGACATGTATATAAATGTAGGTGCTCTCCTAACACCTTTAAGAGTGTAATTTTGTAATCAAATAATTCCATTTACTGCACAGATTTTCGCCTTTTTGAAGATAATTATTCGAACACTTGATATGCAATATCTGAATATTTGAATAATCAACACGGCCCCACTTCACTTTACATTTTCACTTTTGTCAAGTCAACAGTGCTACAATTCTCATTGTTAGTGGCAATGATCTTGGAAGTGAACTGCTTCAAGTAGTGTGACGTGCATGGCCGCTTGTTCATGCTGGATGGGTAATTCCAGAAATTGGGGGTCCATTTTTTTGTGTGTCCCTGTCACGTGTGACAGGATTTTTCTAAATTCAGAACACAGTTTCTTATTTCCAAGAGTCATGAGTTTATGCAAATTACCTGCCAAACAAAATAGTAATAGTTTCAAATCAGTTCCGGTGATATTTCCATGTCAAATAACAACAGTCAGATGTAACAGGCACACAACAATGGACCCCTGGAATTACCCGGATGCAAATACCAAGCACTTTTGATGTGATTTGATTTTGACAACATTTTTAAATACTTTGGAGAGGCTGAAACAGCTTCCATTTCTGCAAATTCGCAGCAAGCATGTGTGGCATAGCATCACTCATATGCCAGCCCGGTTGTATGCTGATATTTTGGTGGGTTTTCTGCCATTTACCCGTGTGTCTGGTTCAGGGTTGACTCCTTCTTTGGGGTAGATGATTAGGATGACTGTAATCAAACCAGCCAACACTACCAAAGCAATGCCTCCATACCTGTGTGAACCAAAAAAAAATGGGCAAGTTTTACAGCAATTTTAACCACAACCAATGAAATGGCAGGATTCAGAACTGTCCAGATTTCAAAGTACAGCAGGCCTCGGGGTACCTGCTTCCCTTTATAGTCACGCACAGCTGTTGTGGAGATCTGAAAACTTCAGTAAATCACACTTCGCTACTGCAGCGACCAAGATGTCACGGGGACGCTTGAGTGCCTCCACAACCAATCAAAATTTATCCTAAGGACAGAAATCTTCCTCACAACGGGGCACCATCTTAGAGCACAGTCAGCCAGGATTCAATCCGTCAGGTCCGTCGGTGGGTCAGTACTTGAAGTCAGCTTGTAATATGCACACAAGTGTGTACGGGCAAAGCACAGCACTTCACTGACTACTGAGTGACATTTGCTGCTTCACAGACTCTGTGAATTTTGGCCCAGAGGTCAGTTTCTGCCGTTGTGATGCTGCAATTTTACCAACATTTGCTAATAGTAATAATGATAACAAGACAGTGCACAAACCCACCAGATACCAAGCACTCACGGCGCTACATACATGTATTATCATTACCCCTGCACATTGGGCTTACAACAACGGAACATTCCCCAAACCATCTCAGACCCACTTCTCTCTCCTCCGGGCCATGGACCAACACCCCAACATCTCTTACAAGAGAACATGGCACAGGTGGCCTGAAGACTACCCTTCGTGCCACTGCATCGCTTGTGAATCCACTTCCCACATGTTGTAGGTTCATGTTAGCTGTGGCTTAAAATTACACTCAACTCTATGGACAGAGGCTGAAACCACAATCATAGACTCCTGCGTATCAACCCATAGCCAAGAAATTCAGCGACAGCCTCAGCACAAAACTGGCTGTTAGAGCAGTGCCCTTAACACAATTAAATGAGACCCTAAGAGTACGCAACCTGACTGACAATATAAAGCAATATTCTACGACAGATTTCCCTGCTAAGCAGTACTGTGGTACAGCTGCTACTTACTTGGCACCCCCGGAAGCCCTGGACAAGATGATGGACATCAGTAGAGAGAAGCCCCATATGATGGCTAGGGTGAACAGGCCAGCACCGATGCCGAAGACGAGAGCCATGGTGAAGGGTGATCAAGTTTTACAATTCAGGAAGGCACTCCATGTGGCCACGGTGGTACTTCATCATTATACTCTGTGAGACAAACAGAGTGAATATTTTATTAATTGGTTGCTTGTGCATTTTTTTCCTTTGAAAAGAGTTCTACACATGGACATTACATGACACCTTGTAAACAAGCCCAGGTCTGATCAATTGTATTTTGTAAGTAACTACTTTTATATTTGACATTTGACATGTGTAATTATGCTGTAGCTTTCCAATGGCTGATTTACCACTTGCAAGGAAACCTTTTTGAAAATGTACAGTCGGCATGGCAACATTACCATTTTACTAAATCTGGAAAATCTCCCTTTCAGAGTGAGGGAAACATGTACACCTGTACATGTAGTGTAGTTAATTGATTTCATTCAAAATAACTCGTAGCTATGACCGCACCGAGTTGTACACTGGATGTTGCATCACTCAGGAAATAGTCATTGGCATGCATGTGCAGACACTGCATGCTTACGTGTACTGTAAATAGCTAGCTCAGCTGGGGTGTCATGGCGTTGTCTCTAGCTACAGGCCCCATTATTAGCATGCTGTTGAATTGCCACGTGACAAAGATGGCGACTTTGAGCTTGGCCAATAGGAACGTTTCCAGTTTGAACAGGAAATTTCTCTTCTTCCCATATGAGTAAATCTTTATACCATCATCACTGGGATTTCCGATTCCTGCTGAATCGTACAGTCATGACATTGCCTGCATTAGACGTGTGAGACATGACCTTAAATAGTTTACATGGTTTAAGGACCGTTTTAGAGGTGAATTCTGATATATCTGAGGACTTTGATTCAGGCATGTCAAGGTAGCCTACAACACTGCGCAAGCTATTTTTGAGAGAACCGATTGATGGAAGGGAAGGCCTGTCAAGGGTAGACTCTACTCTACTCTACTAACCACGTCCAAATGTTAAAAGAGCCGATTCGTAGAGTTAGAAGGCCTACTCGGACTACGTTAGGCCTAGTTTAAGTCCTCCATCATGATTATGCCCATGCCATAGCGGAAATGACTAGATATTAACCCGTGAAACCTGGTCTGCTATTTTTCTCAAGACTCTTAGAGGGTTCATGCTTGGACTCTGTTTCTGCATCAATTGAAAAAGGAAATCCCAATGATAAAATTGGAAAATGAATAGCATAAATGGGTCGGATTCGAACCAGGGTCTATAGATCTGTAGTTCAGATCACTACCAACTAAGCTATCGAAGCGACGTAATGGTTTCGCGTTTTTGAAATATCTTAAATGGTGTATTGCATTGTCCCCTCTTCACGAATCATTTGTCACCCCAGCTACTGAAAAAAAGTAGCGCACCAGGTTTCACGGGCTAGTATTAAGTGGCTTCCTGCCATAGCATGGTAGGACATGCATAAATGAGTGAGGGCGCTGTTTATTTGGAAACTCATACATAGGAAATACAATTCATATTTTTTTTTTGCATGCTGTAGCTCCATTTTATTTCCAATTTCAAAATTATTTTTGAAATATGAAGTGAAGATTTTACCAAAATATGAATTTTGAGGTTTTCAGTTAAAACCCAGACTCACTTTCGTGTACTAAATTAATCACAGTTTGCTCTGCATTACACGTGTACAAAAAGCATATCTCAAAACATCCCCACTTCAAATCGATTTTCCCTTGCTTTGCAAGTCCGATGGAATCCAAATTTATACCAAAACGGTTCTTACGACCTCTTTACGACAAATAATAGGCCTAGACCCCTAGCCTCGCTCGGCCGGTTTACCATGTTTACAGACATGACAGACCAATCCATAGTATTAATCATGCCAGCAGTGGAGTTCCCTAATATGGCAGGGTATTCTGCAATTAAAACTTACACGGGAGGCGTTAAAACGAGATTAAATGTTACTCACACGGGTAATTTTGACGCAATATGATGAGAGAATCGTGTTTTGACTTCCCGGCGATACCAAAACACAGCGTTCTTCGCAAAACAGCGCCACCATGCGCTCACACTTCAGCAATGTTCAAACTAGGCGCCGTGCTGGGTCTTGTTGCCGATCACATCCCATGTTAGACATCATAATCGGTCACTAGAAATATCATGGAAGGGCTGCGTAGCACCTTGATCATCATTTTCCGGCGGCCTTCCGAACCACATGATTTTCATTCTAAGGCTTCGCTAATAAGTACAAGTTGAATTGGCTGAATATACTGAGTAAAAAGATGAGACCCAACAAAAACAAGTCTACTTACACTATTGGTGTCTTTGGTTTTACGGGTTTAGACCAGCTCTTGCATATCGTGTATACCGCGAGGACTGAAGAAACCATAACGAAGTCATAAGGGAACTGGAAACCTGGAAATTGAGGTCCGTACGAGAAAATTATGTGGCAGCCGCCTTATAATTGCGGCAAAAATATTCAAACGCTCTTTAGAAAAAGAGTTTGCATCCCGTCCCTTGGCGCACACAAACCGGCTTCCGTATATCTCAGATTATAACCCATCGGCAATGTAGTCATCTTTTATAGCAGAAACTTAACAGCAACGGGCTCACGTTACTGACCCTTAGTTAACTTCATATATATCCTATCTGGAACTTGACTCACTTTACTCTTTGCCTCCGGTAAGTGAGAAAATTGGAATTCCATTAGAGCAAGGCTCGGATCTATAAGCTTACCATTTAGGAACATCAAAAGCTTTTGGAAATTATGGTAATTTCAACTTGATGACCCGTGTTGGCTGCTTTTGCCCAATTATTCACTGCTAAAACAAACTGCACTGCAACTCGTGAGTGAGGCTTCCTGAAACCATAATCTTTATCTCTTTAAATAATTTCAAGACCCCCTCAGATGAAACATTAACATCGACTACCGGCACTTACATGGTTATAAAAGCAATTTTTGTGAATATATCTTTACGCGTGCAAAAAGCGATTGACAACCCAGGGTAACAGAGACACTAATAGTATAAATAATTAGTACTTTGTGCATTTAAAAAAAACATTCGCACACTGGCATTAGCGAATTAAAACCTCATGATCACTTAAACCAGGCTTCGCTTGGATATTTTCGATACCGCTTTAAATAAAATGAAACAGGTCCAAGACATTAGCTGTTGTTATAGTAAGACATGTTAGTCCCAAAACACGCCGCGTCAAGAAGTGCTTGTTGGCAGTGTCGGCGAGATGGGATTCATTTGGCGAAGAATTTTTGAATCCTCTCCAGTACTCAGCTTGGTCTCTGTTGCTGGCAGCGGCTCACCGCCAGTCCTCGGATGCTGGCCTTCATTTTTCAAATTAAATATGGTATAACTACTTCAGTTAACGTTCTTGGCTCAGTTGCATATGGCGCGCATACGTTTATTAAAGTTAAAGCGGTAAAGATATCTCTAATTATTTCAAGATATCTTGAAAAACTCGAGACACTTGAAGCCTTTGATTAAGGTTTTTGAGATGTCTTTACATTGATTCCAAAGATATCTTAAAATCAATTTCAAGGTATCTTGAACTTATTTTCAAGATATCTCCAAATTAATTTAAGATATTTTAAAATGGATTTCAAGATATCTCAAAAACGATTTACTGATATCTTAATGTCCATTTCGAGATATCATGAAATAATCAAAAGGTCCCACTTTACTTGAATAAATGTCACTTATGCGTCCATAGTTGCAAGTACTGCACTCTGAAACTCCCGGATCAGATTGACCAAGAATTGGGTCCCATTCAGCATGACCCAGAATGGGTCAAATATGACCCCAAAGGAGTCATATTTTGACCCAGAAAAGGGTCACGCCGAATGGGACTCAATTCTGGGTCAATCTGACCTGGGAGTTTTTAGACTGTGTAGTTCAATGCCCTAGTGGCACTACCTGACCCACTGTTGAGCCGACAGCTTCAAAGGCTGGGGATGAAAATCAAGTGAAACTTGAAATGGAATGAACAGAATACCGGTAGTAGAAGACGCCCATACCGGTTGGGTAGGCTACGCATGCTGTAGGAAAATAGTTACTCTGACGGGATATACCAAACAGGTGTGAGTTTGGGGCGCTCAGTATTCGACCAATCGACATCTACAGGGTGTCCAAGAAAACCCAAACCCTGAGGAAAGGGGTTAATATGCCCAAACCATGAGATATGATTATAATGAATAAGGATCTCCGAAAAGTAGAAGCAGTATTCTTTCTGATGATACCTTGATGGTATCCTTCCTGTCATGCATGACTGAACACCATTGTCTTGAAAATGGGGCATCCGAACTCAGTTGCAACACTTTGGATAAACCAGTGAATGAGGTTGTCCTCTGTCATGCTTGTCCTGGTTTAAAGTGACAACAAAAGGTCATGTTAATGAGAGATGATTGCCTTTTGTCACTTTCAAGTTATGCAATAATCTGGTTTAGGTAGGGCAGTGCAGTGTTGAAAAGTGATCGATGCAGGACAGCAAGTCTGCAACATGGTGTAACTTAAAGAGCAAAGAGCGTCTGTGGTTACGAAATTTCTTGAAAACAAGAGCTTTCAAGCCACCCAAGCTGCATTTAGGGAAGCCTTCCCTGATAGGGATCCACCGGCAAAGTCGACCATCTGGGAAAATGTGCACAAATACTGAGAACATGGGACAAGCCTTAATTTGAATAAGGGTCATTCGGGAAGGAGGTGCACAGTGCGAACTCCTGAAAACATTGCTGCAGTTCGACAGCAGCTTGTCGAACAGCCAAGGGGAACCAGTTGCAGGAGGAATGGACTTGGACTGTCCCATTCTTCGTTTAACCGCATAACGCAGTTAGACCTGCAGTTCCATCCATACCAAATGCACATCCGCCACCAACTTTCGCGTGGAGACCTCAAGAGGAGACGGGAGTTTGCTCAATGGCTCCTGGAACGCTGTCAGACCAATGAAAGGTTTCTTGAATGGTTGACAATCGGGGATAAGGCAGCATTTGGGATGAACGGAGAAGTTGACACCCACAACAACGTCGAATACGCACCGAAGGGGCACCCACCAAATTTTAATTAACTTTGAAACCAACGCAAGTCGTGAGGTCACCGTTTGGGTAGAAATGTGTGACTTACGAGGTCGCATTCAACAGGAGGTCGACATCTTACGACATGACCCTGCATTGGTGAGACGAGCTGTGGCTGACATGCACCGCCGTTGTGAACTCTGCATTGAAAGGGAAGGTGGACACGCGAGAGGTATCGGTGCATAACTGTGAATTACGTAATGTGTAAATAATCGGTTTGCCCCAGATATCTTATCCAGGACAAGCATGACAGAGGATAAGTTCATTCGCTAGTTTGTCTAAAGTGTTACAACTGAGTTCGGATGCCCCATTTTCAAGACAAACGGTTCAGTCATGCATGACAGGAGGGATACCATCAAGGTATCATTAGAAAGAATAATGCTTCTACTTTTCGGAGATCCTTATACATTATAATCATATCTAATGGTTTGGGCACATTAACCTCTTTCCTCAGGGTTTATTTTTCTGGGACACCCTGTATATCTCGGGAGCGTAAAAAACCCTCCTACGTAATACGCATACACAGTACACGCAGAGGACGGTCAGGTTCCATACTATGGACAGGTATATGTCACCGTACTGTGTGTGTGAGGAGCCCTCAAAGAAAGGTGTGGCCACAGCTAGCCACACCCAGGACATCCTTCACACACTCAATACTAAAGTTTGGTTCCTTCCACAAAAACGTAATAATGGATTTGAACAACACTACCTCTCTGGTTTACGTCTTGAAAAATTTAATAACCTTTTTGTAGTGTAATAAAAAACGCTTCCAACAACAGAAATGCCTGTTGTTTTCTTTGCACTATTTCAACATATCTATACCTTATAATTGGTGACATGCATAAATACAAGGAAATGAACACGTATGTGTAATCATGACTATAACGTCCGTGACTGTATACTCGCCAGGTCCCTAATTTCATCACCTATTGTACAGTCTGATTAGTTTTCACAATATAGGGGACCTTGGGGCTATCAAGTCACGGACATTTCAAGAAGTTAAGTAATCAAGGTTAAAGGAATTGAAGAAAGTGCTAGAGTAAAATTACATGAAAGTGATTCCTTAATACTAGACAAAATGCTTTGTATTGATCCTCATGCATGTGCGTAGAAAGAAAACAAACAAAACAAAAAACAAACAGACAAACAAAAGGGTTCTTGGTTGGAAATTGTGCTCCGTTCGAAACTCTGTACAAATCATGCAAAAAGACTAGTTGAATTTCAATTCAGTGATGCTGGCTCCGAGTGAGACCAAGACGGGGCGTGTTTTGACAGCAGATCTTTTCATTTGGCGTAGGACACCCGAGAAAGGCTCTGTTTTTTCAGGGATCCTGATCCAGATTTGTGGAGAACAAACACCCTAGGCTTTTATCCCAATATCTCAAACACAACTTGTGAATATTTAAGCGCGATATGAGACGACAACTTTTCACCATATCTCTGATAAAGTTTTGAACAAAAAAGCCCACGAAAGTACGACCAAGTTCAATCTGAATTTACGGTGTTCGAGCGTGCACCATACACGTAAAAGTTCGGGCCTGGGTGGAAAGCTTCCGGTCAGCCTCTTGCCTTTGCCGGTGATCAGGGTGCACTTCAACGCAGGGTGGGTTGTCGGGTCCATCACCACTCAAGTCACAAGTCCCTTAGTCCCTGAAGGGTTCTTGTCGAAATTAAGCAGTGTTGTAGTGACCCCCCAAAAACCATCACAAGACCCCAAAAGACCACCACAAGACCCCACAAGACAATCAGAAGACCAACACAAGACCATCACAAGACCCCACAAACCTCCCGTTTGAATTGAAGTCGCAAGCTATTTAAATGAAGTGAAACAAAAGCATTCCTTTGACACTTCTCACCCCTTTACCTGTGACAGGTCTTATGCATGGTCTCGCGTATGGTCTTGCGTCTGCTCTTGTGAGGGTCTCAAACACAACACTAATTTTACCAGCTACTCGAGCATTATCTCATGCTGAGGGTGAGCTAACATTGTTGGATGCGCGTGCAGATTTCTCATGTTACCTCTGGGGCTAAGCTTGCTGTTTGCTGCCCTCGCTGCTCAATGGAGGCTCTGCTGGCACAAAAATCGGCTGTTAGTTAGAGCCATGAGACCGAGCCGTGCCTTGAAACTAAAGGATTAGTGATGGACTTGAAGGGACTTGTGATTGACTCCACTTCAGCACCTGTTCAAACATAGGAAGCCTTATTTTGGCTTTTACGGGAAAGACTGGTTCTCACTTGACTTGAATCCAAACACGATATGTGAACTTGGCGGCACTGAGTAGTTCCAGTCAAATCTAATACAGCTGAACGCAATGGAAAATCCCTAGCACCTAGACCAGCTGAGATATGTTTGCGCTTGCATTCACTTTCATCTTGGGTACTTGAACTGGCACTTTGGAAAAAAAAACTTGGAGCAAGTTCTTGGAAATTGATAGTGCCCCTGCAATATTGCTACATCCTATCCACTTTGAGCAGAAGCACTCCCTCATCGGTTGAAAAGAGCCATGTTAGTCAGAGTATTCATTTTCTTGGTAGCGGTGCGACTGTCACGCGTGCATTTCACAGTCATTTATGAACCAGCGAAGTGCAGTTCCCGCCGAAGGAGCCTCCGTTGCTAGGAAAATTGCGCCCTCTCTTGTTCCAGCTCATGGGTCATACTTTATGGCACACTCCGTGGCGTGTACCAACATTGCAGCAATGTGTGATTCTTACAAAATATATCAAAATATGCAAATACTATATGAGTTTAACGGGAAGGGCATATTTAGGTTCTACCACATCACAGATAACACGTTTTCTAAAGAACAGGCTCAATCATATACTAAAAAATCTAAACACTTCTAAAAATGGGCTACTTTATAAACTCATTTCTTCTCTTTCAGACAACCAGTCCAAATAGACTTACTGACTTCCAAGGTTATGGGCTTTACACATGCAAAGAATTAAGAACAGAATAAGAAAGGAACAGTTCTTCGTTCCACAGTGCGTAAACGGGGAGCAGTGGAGGCACTAGCAGTAGCTGAGATTGTTATCGGCACTGTCCATCAGTTGAAGTAAGGTGGGGACCGGCTGGCACGACTGCCAGCCGAATGTCCTTGGTCCCCCATGGCTATCGTGAATAAATCACATAGCCACCCTTCCTCCTCAGATAACAGGAGGGGCCCATAGGGTCTTCCAGTCTCCCCTCCGGGCAGCCAGAGTGGGTTTATGACAAGGGCTTCCCACGTCCCAGACTCCGCCCTAGTCCCCGTCCCAAGCTAAAAGGGGGCGCCACTTGACACCTGTTCGTCATATCACTGGAGAGATCATCTGTAGGTAGAAATGGAAAAGGGTAAAGTTGTGTGTCATTGTAAGCCATTGACAAGAGACCATTAGCAATGGTACGCGTACAGGAAAAACGTATGCAGCTAAAATATGGGAAGTCAAGTCATAAGCTTTACTCGGTAATTTTATCCGGCACACTAAGCAGGGTCCACTTCACATTCATCTGTTCATGTAAACACATGTGAGTTTTTGAATTAACTGCATAACCCGGTGATACACCCACCCAGTTTTTCCTGAGCCGCATATGTACCCTCCATCCGTGCCATGTCTAATGCTCTCTCTTATTTTAGTTAAGCAAGGCCATTCGAGATATATAAACAACTCACGATCCGCCACCTTGAACGAATTCAGTACACGGAAGTCAGGGCACAGCTGCAGTGATAAGACGATTAGGACCTATCATGCGCGTGTCTACATATCATCCAAATAACGTATGAAGCATTTGCATTTCATGCGCATTCAACTGGAATACCAAATTGGCTTATGGAAGCAAATGTCTACATGTATGTCACTTTGAAACTCTTTTAGCAATAAAGGAACAAATTGCAACAGTTGGTCTTCAATCAAGTCAAACATCATCAAGTTTAAATTGCCTGTACATCATCATCATTCTGCAGCTGACCATCAAGAGGGCCGCAGTGACCTTCAGATACCCGTCAAGAGCAAGGGACCAGCCCTCATTTGGAGACAGCGGCACAGTGTCGTCGGCAACCTGCTTAAGCCAAGTGAGACGGGGACGGCCGTTCATATTTGATGCTAAAGGGAACAAAAATGTGGAACTGCGATGTCTGATCAGCTACTTGCCTGACGAACTTGCGAAGGGTGAAGTCAAAATTAACATTCAAGCCAATTCTCCTGCACGTATTTTGGAGGTCGAATTTGGTTTGCTTTAAAATTCACCGGAGCACGAACCAGCCTTTATGGGAAAGACTGTAGACGTTTCAACATTGCTTAAAAAGATCAATAATTTCGAAGCAATTTCAACAAAATCAAGTCATTCCCTGACCAGAAAGATTTGAAGAGCCTGGGAGGGTCTGTTGAGTTGAAAATGTGTTATAAGCTGACCTGGGCCAGAGAACACTTTCGCCGAGCCCTGCCATGATGCCCCAGGGAGAGGTAGAGAGGAGGGAGGAGGGGCAGATGCTGGAAGAGCAAACTTTGATGGAGCACCTGATGGGGCAAAAACAACTATGGCTTGTCTGATATTAAAACATCATTTCATGGAAATGCTTAGCCTAAATGTTGCTTAGCAAATGTTACATGTATATATGTGCTAGACACAAATTTAGCTGGGGTCAAATCACGAGAAATATACTCTGTATAACACATTGGCTGGTGACCTGTCTGCTAAGCACACAACTTTTGTGCTTAACAATTCTGTGGCCCTGTCCCCTGGGCCAAGTTTGACTACTTTGCTAGGAGATCTTTAATTATTCACCAATGCTCTCTTTTTTGGCAATGGCCAACAAAGCCAAAAGAGAGGGGATTTTCGAAAAATTTGTATCAGTTGAGATATTTTCGAAACCTGGTCACGAGCTCAACATGGAGCAGTAAGCCTAGCCTTGAAAACAGCAAGCATCCCCAGTATGTTTACAACTACCATCAGGCATTTCCATGTTTTCATCATACCGTGCCTTTAGATAGAGGTAAAAAAATGGTGACAGGTCAGATATAGCCTTTTGAAGATCTTCGTCTTCCGAAGTCAACTTGGAAGAATGGTTTGATGGCAGATTGTAATGAAATACTGTTTTAATAGCTGAAGCAACCAATCCCAGAGAAATTATGTTTATGCGGGGACATTAAAATTGAAATCAAATATTATGGTGATTGGACTATGACTGAAATGAAAGTGGGGGAGTTCTATTAAACAGAGGGCCTCTGGAACTGACAGGTGATATTTGCCATTTTTGTCAGATGTGGAGATGTCTTTTAAAGAATGTTCAACCGGATCACAATTGTGGCAATCTATCCGTTAAAGCGACTGAGTACAGAGCAACTGAGCAGTGCTTGTTTGTTGGTCCCCTTATCTACCTGTTTGTGGACACTCACCAGCCCTCGGTTGCAGCATTGCCATTTTGGTTCCCATCTCTCGGTCCTTCATGGGCTGCACCTGCTTGGCGGCTAGCATGCCACCACTCACACCTGTGACAAGAGTTGAAGCAATCTGAGTAACTCACTGGCTGTGCTACAAGGATTTACTTAATTAATACGAAAACACTCCAGGGGGTGTGTTTTTGTGACCCTGACCAGAAATCTATTTCTGCATTGGACGTTACTGCGACTTAAGTTATGCCTCTGTGACGTCATTAATCTGACCAAACACTAAGAGCTGAAAGTTGGAGTTGGTTCAGTGTCAATTTAAAATGGCAGAAAACAAATGATTTTTCATTGTCTTTCACGTAAGAAAATGACACATTTTAAGGTTCTTATTATGAGCAGTGAATCAAATGAGCAACTTTCTTATATAAGGTGAAAATAGAGTAAAGCATCAGTGACAAACATGCCAGATATTGTCTGTTTTATTTTGTCTCTGTTGGATGATGTAACGTTTCTGCTTCGTTTTTGTGGACTGCCTTAAACATGCTCCTGGTCATTGCTTTGATGTCCCAGACACGTTTCTGGTTTAGGGGTCACTAAAACAAGTCCCTGAGCTGATAAATGGTAGGATAACTTATGACCAGCGGGTAAATAGCATTATAATCTCAATCTGAATGGGAGTATAAAGTACTGAAGTGAATACATCATGCGCACAATTATGTGTGTCATGGCACCAGTGCGAGAACCAGCGCTTGAACGGAAGATGGAGAACTTCACCGTGAATAAGAGTAACTGGTTGAAATTGCCTGGGTGCCATTTAGGCAAGCGATACGCCTGTGCAGTGGACGTTAATGCAAAGGTGCAGGCACCGCACCGGGCATAGATTGACAAGAAAAAATATTTGTGCTGGCCAAAATGTGGGATTTTTGGAGAATTTCGTCTCACAAAGGAAGCCTGGTGGCACATTCTTGAAAGCAAAACTCAAATAAAATACATGACTTGTAATGAGCAAATTTCACGTGAAAAAAGTCCAGTCTTTAAACACAGACATCTGAAAATACAAAGACATGCACTGTTGCATCAAAGGGTGGGAATTCTTGTGTTCCAGTAGGACGACCGCTTCACGCCCTCACCCGTTCAAGTATAAAAAGAACCCTTCATCCAAGTCCCTGCCATCACTACCGTCACATGCAAGGGACCAAACAGTCTCAGCATCAATTCTTGACGCTGAAGAAAGTTGGGATTGTTTTGGACGAGAAAAATTTGGCTCAATTGGCTTCCTCCCGCCCCCAAGACCTGGACACGCCACTGAGTACTTGGACTGACCTAAGGATGTTGGTCTCCTCACTGGTTCTTCCTGGATGACTGGCTTGTGCACAGGTTTCTGTAAACGCTAACAAACGGCACAGAGATGTAAATGTACAACATAATGTTTGTGGCTCACCTGATTGGTCACTCTGCCACCCCAAGCCTGACCTGTCAGGGTTGACTATCCAAAAATAACATGCGGTTAATGGAAGGCTGCCTTAAGGTTTTAGAGTTTTTTGGGGGGGTCCCTGGGACAAAACCCCAAGTTAGAGCCCGTTTAATATTCCCCTCTCTCCCAATACTTCCCATGCTGCTCAAAAGTGCAAAATACGCATTGCTCTTTATTGCCCAGTGAATAAATGCCATGTACCACAGGCGCTCATGGGTTGGCAGGGCATTCATCAGGGCTGATCCCAAAACACTTTCCAACTACTGACCTCGTCTGAACGGTCCGTGGGATGGGCACCGACCGCCGGCTCCCTGCGCCTGTGGTCCACCTCCAGGCCTCTGCCTCTGGTGGATGGGTTCTGGGGCGGTTTGGGCTTGGGCTTGGCGTTGGAGAACTGGATGCCGTAGACGGGGGGCGGGATCACCAGGTACGTGGAGACATCCTGGCGTTCAGGGAGGTGGCTGGACGTCAGCTCTATGTTGTAGATGGAGGCCAGGGCATCACTCAAACAGAAGCTAAACACACATTCAAAATAAAAAAAAAAGAGAAATTGCTAGAAGACACATACTGTCAGTAAGTTGGTCACCCAAAGTGCACTGGAAAGAGGCAAGTGGTCACATTCTGTCCAATTCTACATTCATTTTTATTTATTCATATTTATTTTAAATATCTCATAAGGTTTGAAAGCCTTGCTTCTCAATCCTGGAAAATCTTGTGTTTTTGCTCTTGAGAAAGATTCTACTAAGATCCCAAAATCTGGCCCTCTAACTACATACCTTGGACAACATAGTCAATAATCAGTTTGCAGCAGTTTTTGTATTTTTTGTAATTTTCCAAGAAATGCCATTCTATCAGCATCCTAGATTTTAGGCTATCCCTACTGTGCAAGTTTTCCCCAAACATCATCATTAAACATGTTTTTATGTGGTACATTAATAAACAGTAAACCAATGAAGTTATGTACCGGTACCTGTGTCTACATCTTGAGACTTCATTCATTTGCTTTGCTTGATCAGGCTGTTATCGCATAACGCAGCGCGCTGGCCAGTCGGTTAGGGTTTCCGGGCTGGGTCACATGATACATGTACAAAGCACTTGCGGGCGCATCATTCGTGCCTGATTTATTTTACAGTTTTGGTTAATGCCCACCCAGTGCTTGTCGACGTGACAATGGCAGCCCGTTTAAACATGCTCGGCTCATCAAAGAAAAGCCAAGCGCGTGACAGTAATGACTCATCATGAAGGCAAATGTTCTTTCATCACTTTTTACTCATCATTTTTCAGTGTTTTTTTTAATTGGCCTGCCAAAACTTCGAGATAAGTGGCTTTAGTGGTATTGACTTTTTTAGTTACGGATAGTTTATTGTACATAAAGGCCCATTCTTTTGTCGGAAATACAGAAAGACGTCGAGGTAAACAGAGTTTTGACTTAACGGCTTCGACTTGTCAAGATTTGATTCATTTGTGAACTTTGATGACAGTATGTGAAAAATTAATGAAGTGAGTTCGACAGTTTCAGAAATTTTCGGAAACAGGAGGAATCCCTCTCATCACGTGACTGTGGCAGCTATCGGACCAAAAGGTAGAATCTTTTCGTCCTCCATGGACCATAAGATTCCATGATCCACAGATCCTCTAAAAAGAATCCCACAAATCCCAACAAAGTTCAAAGGAACATGTAATGAGAAACTTTTGTTGCAGGAATCCTGTTCAAAGAAAGTCAATCTTTGATACAACCTCCACTTTTTGATACTTACCAGTTCTTCTTGGCTTTTCCCAAAGCACAGTTGTCTACTGTCACTTCATTTTCTTCGTGGTACTTGCATCTGGAGTAACAAATCAACCAGTGAGCGATCACCATCAAAGCTCTGCCACGAGAACTATGACCAGTACATGTAGAAAGTTGACCTGTATGGACGATGTACTGTTTACGCATTTGCACTGTAAGCATGTAATTTCGAGGTTGAAGACTTGATCCATTCCTAGCCTAGCTATTCCTCTTTGTATTGCTTTTGTATGGCTATTTGAATGTCTGCATCTGTATTCTAAAACGATATGTCAACAAAGCCGACATGCAAAAAAATTAATGCACAATCAGGGAATGAGGGTTTCATTTTGCTCTGCGTAAACAACGCAAATGCCTGCGTGTATGCACTGCAGATATTTCTGCCATGACTTTTCCAATCGGATTTTAGCAGTATCTGATGCGCGTTACATTTACTGTATTCCAACAGGCATGCCCAGTCCGAGGCTGTTCAGGAACAGCTACACGACCGCGCGACAGTCTGTCCTATCAGCACAGCCATATGCTGTCTTATGCCCATTCTTTGTTCTCTAAAGATATCAGCTTTTTGAAATACCAAACTGGGCTGTACGCCTCAGGGCAACAGCCTACCGTGTATCTGCTTCATAGTCAAAGGTGGAAGTCGTCAGCAGGTTTGTGCAGCCCGAGTGGGATGGTGGTTTGGCGCCCCCATGGACGAACAACTCACAGAGCAAGACCTCCATTTCGTAGACCTTGCCCAGCCTGTTGGGGACACCTACCCAAAATGCACCAAAGAAAAAAAAAGACAAAAACACACACTGACTTTAAAACGAAATAAAAAAAAAGGGAAGGCTGATTAGAGACTGCTGGTAGAACACTGCATCGCGGGGAAAGGTACGCCTTCGTGCTGAGTTGGGCATCCCGAACTGATGTTATGTGTTTTTTTTACAAGCATCATGCAACCAATTTATGTCTCAGACCTGTGAGCAAAATTCACAGACTTGCTGTGAATTTAGAAATCAAGATTTTAAGGCGAGGCCCACGTGTGATCATCCAGGGGTTGTGGGGTTCACATCCCACCCGAGTCAACTCATTTCTCCCCCACAAACTTATCGCTGCTTTTCTTCATCTTACCTGCAGACCTGCCAACCGGTCGTACTCCTTCCTGAGGTCAAGGCATCACCACATAATATTTTAAATGTAGTGGGCTCATTTAAATACCTTTTAATCTACTGTGTGGTATGTACCTGCTCTATCAGAGAGCCATCGCAAACACCCTTCTACTTCGTTTCGTCTCTGTAACTGCAAATAGGATCATGGGACACGTTATGGCTCTATTCCATTTTCGACGACATACAGCTGAACACAGATAAGAAGAGCACTGCTCATACATGGTCACATTTACACCAAGGGCAATTGTAGGTCCCACGCCTTTGTTTTCCATGACTGATAATGCAAGGTAACTATCATAACAAGGTAGTTGGTGAAGTCCCTAGGACCTTGTAATAATATTGTTCCATTGTACGCTTTCCGTTTGTCCAAATACCAAATTTCCACATAAAGTAGGATCGGCAAGAAAGAAACTTTGAATCAGAGTTACTGGAAGAACACTCTGTGAGTCCTTTCCACAGACGTTAGTTCCTACAAGATCCTGATAATTGGAAGTCTTTCATTTCTTTTGGTGAGAATTAACTGTTTGATGCTTATCTATACTGTGCAGCTTTACACACATCAGTTACAATCAATTACATCAATCAGTATCAAGTACTATCTGGCGGTGAACATGGTACTCAGAAAATATTGAAAGACAACTCTGAT